GGGGGGGGGGGCGTCTCGGGGACTGTACCCCTTATAAAATACTTTTCTCCTTTTAGAACTGAAAATCACAAATATTAACCCCCTCCCTGTACGTTCACTCTCATCTCGTCTAATATTTAAATAAAATTGTATCTCTCTAAAATATTATTAGGGATCGATTTTTATATTATATTCTATACCTGGAGAATGTAATATGAATTAGTAGCTGAACTGCACACTTAGCCTGAGCAGGCTTTAGGTTTGAAAAAGTGTACGTGGCACTATTTTTTGCACCTACATTCCTGCCATACCAAAATATCATTAGTTTAATTTTTTCAACATAAAGTTTGTTTAGCTAAATTTGAAATTTTATATGGATATTTTTAAGAAAATGAGAAAATATACAATATTTGCCTTGGACATACTTTTTGGATTTTCCTAAATACTAATTCCTAAATCATCAGATATATCCCGTTCAGATTCGAAAGACAATAGTTTCGTACGCTTTTTTCAAACCTAAAGACTGCTCCTCAGGCTAAGTTTGAGTGCCCGGCGTTTGACGAGCTATAGCTAACATATAAATATGTTTATATATATGAGCGAAGAGTTTTATTATATATGAGATGATATTGAAGCTTTCCTATTAAAGAAGATGTTTTTTTCTGACGCTATGCGCTAGAAAAGCAAAATTTGAATTATAGGAAAGATAAAATTATAAATTTTAAAGTTTAATAACTTTATGCTAAAATACTTATTTATTTGATCTTTTAACCAGTTTTAGATATTTCATCGCGTATTTCTTAGAATATATGTGTCAGCCGTATATTATTGAATTCTAACATACAAAAACAAATATTTCTGAAAGGGACTGTTCGCTTAGTTTCATATGACCTTCTATTTAAACAAGTTATTCCTGACTCACAATGGTACCCTTTACACCATTATCTAAGTAACATTGAAAACAAATTAGTTTTTTTTTCATCTTTAACGGTTAAATGGTAACAGTTAAATTCTTACTCTCTGCTGTATTAATTCCACATGTTACTTTTATATAGAAGCCACATATTTTAAATTATCGCTTTTCAGATAGAAAAGTTAGGATATCTTCATCGTTTTTGCTCAGACTAATGGTTGAAGTGTACCGTTGTGAATCTGACATGGAACTCTTCATAAGCTCTTGTGCGAATGCGATATACGCCATGAAATTAAAGCAAAACGTTCGTGGCCTTAACCATTGGGTGCGAAGCATTCTGAATCCTAAAAAAGTAGAAAGAAACTTGTGGGGCTTTATCTCAGATCAAATTTCTATATTCAGATTCGAATGCAAGCTGAAAACTAAGTAATAATTTATTTTTATCATGTGTATTTTTATTCAAGACTTTTTTTTACAAACTGAAGAAAACTACGAAGTCATCTTTTATGTAATTTAGTTGTGAATAGTAGAATGTGAATTGTAGAATGTGAATTGTAGAATGTGAATTGTAGAATGTGAATTGTAGAATGTGAGTTGTAGAATGTGAATGGCTCATTTTAATGTGGAATAATTTTGAATATTTTATTTTAGCTCCTATGGTTTGTAAAGATGGTGAAGGGATCCATTAAACTGATACGAGACGCGAATAAGAAGAAATCAATCAAGACAAACTGATCTACAGTTCTAAAGATCTACTGATCAACTGATCTACTTATCAACTGATCTACAGATCTACAGATCTTTTAATCAACTGATCAACTTATCTACTTATCTACTGATCTACAGATATACTTATCTTCTGATCTACTGATAAACTGATCAACTGATTAACTGATCAACGGATAAACTGATCTATTTATCTACTAATATAATGATCAACTTATTTACTTATCTACTGATCTACTGATCCACTGATTTTTGTATCAACTGATCTGCTGATTAACTAATCTACTAATTTACTGACCAATTGACCTGCTGATCTGCTAATCGACTGATCTATTGATCTAATGACCAGCTGATCAACTGATCAACTGATCTACTGAGCTACTCATCTACTGATCTACTGATCTACTGATCAACTGATCTACTGATCAACTGATCTACTGATCAACTGTTCAACTGATCTGCTGTTCAACTAATCTCTGATCTGCTGTTCAACTAATCTGCTGATCTGCTGATCACTGATCTGCTGATCTCCTGATCTACTGATCATCTGATCTACTGATCTACTGACATAGTGGTATACTGATCAACTGATCTACCAATCTATTGATCAACTGATCAAATGTGAAGAGATCAACTGTTTACAGCTTAAAAAATCAAACAGGTCACCAGATGAATAAACGGATTTATGTTTCAAAGAATTCGATCTAAACTAGTTTTATTATTTAGAATTTATGTTTATATAAATGTGACAAGGATTTCTAGTCAAAGGAAAGGTCGACATGAAAGCGACAAATTTAAAGTGACTTTCTCAATATTTAAATGTTGTTGTTAAATTCAAATTAAAGATTGGTTAAGTATAACTTGAATTTTGCCATCAGTCCCTTTTCTTAAATGAAGTGTAACAATAAACGAGGATTTAAGCTCAGAAAATGATCTAAATAAGCGAACTATGACAATTATGTATAGAAAATATAATAAATAAAATATTTATTAAAATGTAAAAGTTTCAGTGCATGACAGGACACAGAATACTCGGGAAAGACAAAACAGATGGTCTTTTTTAGGCTTGTAATTTTATTAGAAGGGTTTTCAACGTAAGCAAAAATTGAATTATAGTGCAAATCTATGCTATAGTTTTGTTATAAACAGAATGGCACGCATTTGCCATGTAATTTTTACGCGGAATAAGTTTGCAGTGTTAAAATTCTCTTTAAAATAAGGCATTCCACAAATTCAGAAGTTTATTTTATTTTTCAAACTAATGATCCACCAACCTACAGTAAAATAACATAATATTTTTAAAAAATAATAGCAATAAAACGTAAATACAGAACTTCTATTGGAGCTCAGAGATATGTTGGTTAGAATTCAAATTAAATCTTGTTCGTTTCAATAACTTAATGTAGTGCAAGCAATTCAAGTGCTGTATGGGGCCAGAAATATTGTTAATTAACTTACATACAGGAAAAGAGTAAATGTTTTTTTATGTTTTTAATGCTTTTATGAATTATAAAGTCGTATCCGCTATTTCCGACAGATTTTGTATTGGGGATAAATATGTCGATATAGACAGGATGTACTTCAGTGTAGTTTTGTGTAGTTTTTGGGGACAAGAGGCGGCTAATGGAAGGAAGAACATCCCCTCCTCGCAGGAACATTGTGGGCCTAACTAGACAGAGGGGTCATCTTTTAGTCTTTTCGCTCTCTACAACCCCCCCCCCCTCCAGAACCTTGCTATATTCAGGTAGTGAAGATTTTTCTTCAAATTTTTTGTTTTCAAAACTAGAACTTTTCCGTTTTTTAATATTCCATAGACATCGCCAGACACTGCAACTATTTTGCTGTATAGACATAAAACCAAATATTAAAAGTGTTATTCGTTAAGTTGTCCAGTTTAAAAAGTTTAAAAAGGACGAGACCTAAGTGACGACTGTACACAATGTATTTTGCTTATAAAAACTTACAACGTAGCTATACTTAGTTCTTTCCTTTGCCAAAATCATCTAATACCCCATTTAAAAACGATGTATGTAATAAATGTAATAATGTAACATAGAAATCCAAATTTAACCTTTCTATTAATATTAATCTATAGTTTTATGAAGCCTTTGTGATAAACTCTGTAGGTTCAAAGGTACGAATTGACAGAAAATCTTTTGAAGTTAAATAAATAAACACAAACCTTCATTGAATTTAACTATAGGCCGAAGTTGATTAAATATGTAAGCTGTTATTATTTTGCTATAATCCATATGCCGTGTTTTTTCTTACAATCATACAATGAGTAAATTGATTAATTTTGTGATACCAAAAACCGATCAGGGTTTGAGTGAATCTTCTTACAGAAAATAAAATTTGAAATTTAAGGTAATAAGCAAATGTGAACTTTTAAAAACTTTTTTCGTAACATTTCTCACATTTTGGGAAACTATTATAAGCATTGATCTTCATCCTCACTTACAGACTGATTTAAATTCATCTCGGATATCTCATTGATTAATTATCCACTTGTAAACATTTACGAATTCATTTCATCTCTATTTGATATCCCTAAACTTACAAAGATAACTAATAGAAGGATCGAGTATTATAATCCTTAAATTTTAATGTGTTGACATAAATTCTATTTATAACTATTTATGTAAATATATGTTGCCAAAAATCTGGTGCATTTAAACAGTTCAAATAAAAAAGTACAATTTGTAAAACTAATTAAACGTTTGAAATTATTAAAAAATGTAATATTTCATTCACAATTTTCTTTTTAACATATATATATCAATACAGTTAATATAGCTTGAATTGTCGATCTAAATTATGAATCAAGACATAAAAGGGATTGAGTTTAGTGTTGTATAAGTAATTCAAGTTAATTTGATAGTTTAAAGTTCAAATTTTTCTTAAATAACATATAATTTGATAATGAATGTCAGACATGTTAAAACAAAAATAGAGAAAATTTGAATTTTTGGGAATGGTTTTGGAAAATTTTTTAATGAAGGGTCAGAAAGTAGAAACATTGACACTTTTAAATTTCATTATTACTATCGTATTTTACAAACAAAAATTGAATGAATTGATATACAAATAATTAAAAAGAGAGCTGTACATAAAATTATACATTTTTATTTATAAAATAAAATTCACTGGAAGCATAACAGTTAAAATAAATTTCTACACAATTAGTACATAGTACATAAAACTACAGAAAACACACAGTACAATAGTACATTATTCACGTGTTGTAAACAAGGTGAAAACTAGTTGCATTTTCTCCTTTACGCAATCTTGCTCAGGGCAACCTACAATAGGATGTGGATTAATATACTATATTATCAAAAACTCTCCGATATGGATATTTTTAAAGTATGAAAAGTCAACCACCATTCAATGGAAATCAAGGCAGAGTCCCCTTCAAAAAAAAACGCCAAAGAACGAAAATTAATGTTCCAGTTTAAGACTTTCTGATTTGGGTTTTATAAATATTCAAAACTACAGAAGTAAATTCACAATTTCCTTTGCGTATTTTTGATAGATAATTGATAATATTTAAACTATGTCTTCCAAGTCTGTTACGCTTTAAAGCTTACAAGCAAGGGAAATAAATCGTTTTAGAAAGCCCACCCCCATGTGTGATGAAAATACAAATCAGTGTTAATCTAAGTTTATTTAATTAAATTTCAATAGAGTAAGTTTAGTTTCAAGCTTGAAACCTATAAAGAAGACGATATTCAAAATAGTCTATTAATTCCTTTTTTCATTCGTCTTAAAGAACTAGGTAAAGGGGAAAGTCTCATCATAAAACAGTGGACATGAAGGCACACAATCTAGAAAAGGGGGGGGGGGAGTTTTCACCGATATAGTTTTTTTCTGTTGAACCAAAAAAGATCTTAAGATATATTTTTGAAACATAAATAGTAAATCTTTTATTATCCGAAGAGAAAAAAAAATATAATATTGAGTTTGTGGGAAAATGTTGGAACCCAGAGATATTTTATGACCAGTGGCCGAATTTAAAGAATTTGAGCGGTGGTTTAAATTTAAGCCGCGGCTTAAATATGGTTGGTTCCACTTAAAATTGTATCAAATGTTTCAAGATTTAAGCCGGCGCTTAATTTAAACCGGGTTTTGGCAGATTTAAACCGCGGCTCTAATCCTTTAAATTCCATCTCAGGTTCTAAGAAAGTTTACTCTAAGTTATTACTTTCTCCCCAGGGTAGAACTTATCAAGAATTTGATGGAATTAAAAAGATTAAAATTATAAATATTCGGCTGGCAAGTTTTTTGAATTCTTTCTAACAGTTTTTTCATTTCTCAGTGCCAAAACTACAAAGGAGAAAATTTTAGCTTTATTTTTTTGTCCACCGTTTGTTCATAAATAAATCCACCTAGCTAGCATATCATACAGAATGTTATAAACGTTACATTAAAAAAGAACTTATTAACAAAAAATAATAAGAAAATAGTGTCTAAAGTCCTTCAATCCCCTGAACTCCAGAAAGTTCTAAGCTTTAGCCCTCGTCTGACTACACCTATTGCAGTTATTGGCCGGAACATTATTGGGAAATAAATTACAGTTAAATTTGTTTTTTTTTCTCTACCGTTTCCACCAAGGAATCTTTGAGACTGAAGTTTTGTGGAACTTAATCTTAAATGTGCCTGAAAAACATGATCGTAGTCCGAATTTAATGAATTTGAGCAGTGTCTTAAATCCACCAAAAACCGGTTTCAATTGAGTGCCGGCTTAAATCTTGAAACATTGAATACAATTTTACGTGGAACCAACCATATTTCAGCCGCGTCTTAAATTTAAACCGCAAATCAAATTCTTTAAATTCGGCCCCAGGTAGAGTATTCTTTTCGCACTTAAAACCTTTTAGAGCTTTTCTTCGCCTGACTCATTTTTGTGTTATTTATAACTATTACTATTACATTTCCATTTCTATTTTCCCATTTTTCAAAATGGGGGGGGGCTAACTTGTTAAATACATGTTATGTATATATCATGATTGAAATGGTAAAATGTTAACAAAAAGGAAATTATATTGAGAGGGGGGGGGAGCATAATCCTTCAGCCCCCCCCTGTATAGTGTTTATGCCCCTGTCTAGTATTTACCTCATCAGCTAGTGAGGATACAGGAGAGTGTGCTCGGGTAGATATGGGTGAAGGAGGTTCCGAAATAGGTCTAGGATAGTTGAGTCTACCAACACCACGAGGTGGAGCTTCCTCTTCACTTATATCCGGGTATACAGTCTGTAGAGCCTTCATTCTAGCCTAGAAGTAGGAGAAGTAGGAGTACTTTATACATACTAGTAGGAATAGTAGGAGTACTTCATACATTCAGAATTCAGAGTATTAAGTACCAACTTTCCAACTTTAACCCATCACCCAATTTAGCCCTCCCATCCAGCCAGAAAACGAACCGTGCAACTAAGCAACCATACTAAGCAACTAACCAAATCTCCCCAACCATTGAACGATCCAGGAGCCAAGCAAATTAACAAAACCAACCGACCACACCAACCAACCAACCAACCAACCAACCAACCAACCAACCAACCAACCATCCAACCATACAAAACAAGAAAGCAACCAACATGTTCACGACTAACAATTTAGCACATGTTTAGATCAAATACACGATAAAGATAAATCCACGATTACTTCAGTGGTCGTAAAACAATGTAGAAATTAATAATATTATTGCCACAATTCTAGCAACCAGATGAGGGAAATTTCCTATATGTATAGCCAATACAGAGTTCCGCCAAATTTGATATTTTCAGTTAGTTTATTGGACGTTATTGAGCTGAGGGTTCTATATGAGATTCTTTTTCAGATCTTGTTTTATTATTATTATTTATTATTAATAATATTATACAGTAGTCCATTTCTTATAGATTACCTGTCTATAATAAATACCAAGATTCTTCCAGTCCAGCAGATCAGATAATCTTTCCGTTCTATTTCTCTGAATGATTCTCTGCCGTCTGATAATCAAAATATAAGAATTAAATGGCGTGTTATCCCACAGAACCTGTAAAAAATTGAATAAAGGGACTTCCAACGTAAATTCAAGTGAAGATATTCTTGCTCTTCTACATAAAAATTGATAACTTCTAAAAGTGGTTCCTCTATAAAAGTAACCTTCGGTTTCTGCAGTGAAAGAAGGAAATTTTCATGGATGTTGTGAATGAGGGGTGCAGTTTTTAAAATGGGAGGGAGGAGCACTTGTGCTTCATAAGTGCTCGATAGTCCACTCCCTGAAAAGCAATCAGTTTTATTTTATGATTTTGTCGTTTTTATAACTTAAACAATCTGAACAGAATAATAATCATTTATTTAGAGGACGTTAAAGGATATTAAAGGATAAAAAAGATTTTTTTCCGGAGACAACTCAGGGGTTAACAACCCCTCTAAAGGGGCTGTCAATGTAAATTTAAGCGACCCTCTGTTTAAAGAGGGACATTTAATTAAAGATGTGGAAAAATAATCGTTTTTCTAGCTTTAAAAGTGTTCAATTCTGACACTTTCCTCCATTGTTTCTGAAAGAGAAATCTGCATTTCGCTTATACAGAAAAACCACAATTAAAAATTATTAGTCTTTAAAGTTAAAACATGGATATCTCTTTCATGTGTGATCATACAAAGCTTTTAAAGGTACCAATGTGAATCTGACATGCCACATAAAAGGAGTCACTAAAAATTACGTCTACACAAATAGATTCTTATACAATAGATGGCAACGTAGAATTTGTACACTGTCAGTACAGCTGTATTCTGACGTCACAAGTGTCAATTCAGTTTTTGTGTCAGACAAATTATGAATAATAGTGATAATTTTAGAATAAAGTGCTTATCTTAAAGTAAAATAAGTGCAATTTTATGGGTTCTTTATTTCTATTTTTACATTTTTTTATTTAATCTTGGAAATAATGTCAACTAATATGAGATAATTTCGTTTTCCTTGTTATATTTGACACTTGTGACGTGGTGTATAATTGATTTATTTCTCTGTTGCCAACTATTGAACTTGAAAATCTATTTGCGTCTATAGTGAAGTATATATTGACCTGTTGAGTTTTGTGTAATCATGCATAAAACCAGCAAGCTGTTGAACAGAATCCTCTAGACCTCGCTTCCGCCTGCAAATAAAACATATTCTAAGCTATAGTCCTTCAGGGGTACAAGATGCTCAAATTTAGTAGTATCGGGAACAACATGAAAAAATGTAAAATAAAGTTTCAGTTTTAATCATTTTTTATCAATATCCAACAATTTTTTTTTCCTGATGCCCAAAAGTTAGTATAGAACACAAAAAAACTTGTTTAACATGAAAATAAATGCTTTTTGAAGCCTTGAAAATGAGAACTTAACACATTTTAGCTTAAAGAAAATCTATTTCAATAAAGAATTTAAGGAAATAGTGCTACGGATAGTTGAGCTACTTGTACGCTGCACTCTCGAGCACACAAGAAAAGTAGTTGAACTATAGGTATAACCAGCTACGGATAGTTCAACTACTTGTCTGCTGCACTCTCGAGCAAACTAGAAAAGTAGTTGAACTATAGGTATAACTAGCTACGGATAGTTGAACTTTGTATGCTGCACTTTCGAGTACACTAGAAAAGTAGTTGAACTATAGGTATAACTAGCTACGGATAGTTGAACTACTTGTCTGCTGCACTCTCGAGCAAACTAGAAAAGTAGTTGAACTATAGGTATAACTAGCTACGGATAGTTGAACTTTGTATGCTGCACTCTCGAGTACACTAGAAAAGTAGTTGAACTATAGGTATAACTAGATACGGATAGTTGAGCTACTTGTATGCTGCACTCTCGAGTACACTAGAAAAGTAGTTGAACTTTAGGTATAACTAGCTACGGATAGTTGAACTACTTGTCTGCTGTACTCTCGAGCACACACGTAAAGTTCTTCGTAAAAACTTTATTTGTAGAGTTAGTATTTAACAAATTTTTGACATATATAATTAGAACACATATATACTCTGGCTTTTCGCTGTACCCAGCAAATCCATAAATATTTCAAGGATTTGAAGATTAACTGGTTAGTTAAGATTAACTAGAAAAATAATTCAAATCATATCAAATCAAATCATAAGTAGCAGGGATGGCCTAAGGCTCCAGTAGTGGATCAGAGTTTCAAGTCCTCCTCATTCCTGGTTTTTCAGCCCTGGCCTTCTTTTTATAAGGTAAATATACATTTAATGCTACTTTTTCTTTACTTTGTAGTTTCGAAGCGCCCAGCCACACGACCAAATTTGAGCCATGCCCCACTTTAGAATACCTAACATCCAAGGATTGCTACACGGTTTGTTAAGTTTGGATGCTGGGTATTTCCCTTGCGAGTTAAACCGTTTTTGTTAAGTTGTTTAATCCAGTTGAATATTCATATTTGATTATCAATTGTTTTGGATTCCAGTTTTATCTTTGATCATTCTAGTCTAGTCTTTTCTAGTCTAGTCCAGTTTTAATTAGATCGTTCGTTTGGAGAATAAGAAGATTAATTTCTGAATGTCTTTGCTAATCAAAATTGGCTGTAAGCTCCAAATTAAGTAAAAAATTATCCTTATATTAATATTGCTTAATCTGAGGCTTGGATATTGAAAAAAGATTTTTACATGAACATTAGATTTTAACAATTGTTCCATGAACATTATATTGAAATAAGAATTAATTAAATGAGAGTTAATAAATATATCATTAGATTATTTTCGATCTGCACAAGTACTGATCAGTATTTTTCAAGTGAAGTTATGAATCTAGTCAAACGAAAACATACCTGAAAAACAAAGTATAGATCCATATCAACTAAAGTCTAACTACAACACGCTGTTCATAAAATCTGACTATAAAAATAATGTGTTACCTATCAACTATATATATTCCGTAAGACTGTGGATCTGTTACATGTTCCTCCATGAAGCAACCGAACCCAGATAGATTAGTTGTGATACTAGGAATACCTAAACAAATATTATTCTTAAAACTGATAATAATAATAATATAAACCAGTCAACCGTGGGCGTGGAGCCCACAAAGAATAATTGCCAAAGATGGAAATTAATGGAACAGTTGGCTCAGTTTCAAAAGAATAATAAAAAAATACCAACATCAATACTCACAGTGGTAATCAAACAATGAAATGATTGTCGACTCCTGTCTCTCCATCCCGAAATGACGCTAAGGATTGTGTAAATTATGCGATAAATTTTTTTTTTTAAATATATCAGTTTTAACAATTAGAAGTTAAAATTTCTTTATTAAAAAAAGATAATTCTTCCCAGCTGTTTTGATTACTAACAATGACTGTGAGCATCTAAAAAAAGGGTCAATTTTGGACCACATAGTCACAAGACTTTGAGAACACACTTCCACTGTATTTACCCATGATAGTGCACTCAGCTGGAGTATAACCCCAGGGTTCATAATATGAGGGGAACACTCCCATATGGCATCCTCGGACAAACTCCTAAACAGTGGAGACAATATTTTAAAACTGTTTTCAGTAAAGGTTTGCTTTAAAAAATGTTATCTTAAGAGAAAAAGAGAGGGAAAAAACGTTCAAACCAGTAAGTTAACTCAACTATATAAACAAACCAATTTTAAACCAGACAAATTCGAACAAAAATGGGTTTCTATTTATTAACAAAATGAACGTATCGTGAAAACAAATAAAATTATTAGTTTAAACGACTGAACCGAACTGGTCACCTGATAGTCAAGACCAAACAGAGGGTTTGTGGTCGAGAGGAACTCTGGATGGAAAACTACCTTGACACGATCAGACCTACAAACAATTTATGAGTAAAATAAAATATTCAATCTATTCATTAGACATTAGATTACATCAAACCGCAGCACAGACACAAGGAAACTGCGTAATTTCTTTGTATTATGATAAAGAAAAAGATCGTCGAAGTTAAAGAAACTTTAAAAAGAGGAGCGGAAGCGATGACCTCTATAAGTATATATGTGCCATCAAAAGCTGATTTAATTTTGAAATTGAAAATGGTCAGAGTTAAGAATAATAACAAGCAAACCTGTGATTAAACAGCCGACAAAATAACAAGCAAACATGTGATTAAACAGCTGACAAAATAACAAGCAAACATGTGATTAAACAGCAAAACTACAAGCAAACCTGTGATTTAACAGCCGACAAAATAACAAGCAAACATGTGAATAAACAGCTGAAAAAATAACAAGCAAACATGTGATTAAACAGCTGACAAAATAACAAGCAAACATGTGATTTAACAGCCGACAAAATAACAAGCAAACTGTGATTAAACAGCTGACAAAATAACAAGCAAACCTGTGATTAAACAGCTGACAAAATAACCAGCAAACCTGTGATCAAACAGTTGAAAAAATTAAAGCAAACCTGTGATTTAACAGCCGACAAAATTACAAGCAAACCCGTGATTAAACAGCTGAAAAAATTACAAGCAAACCTGCGATTCAACAGCCTACAAAATTACAAGCTAACCTGTGATTTAAAAGCTAATAAAATAACCAGCAAACCTGTGATTAAACCGCTAAAAAACTAAAAAACCAAACCTGTGATTAAACAGCTAACAAAACATGTGACTCAACAACTGATAAAATAACAAGCAAACATGTGATAAAACAGCTGACAAAACAACCAGCTAACCTGTGATTAAACAGCTGAAAAATAACAAGCAACCCTGTGATTTAACAACTGATTATTATTATTATTATTAAAGGACAACCCATCATTCAATTATACAGCTGATAAAATAGCCAGCAAACCTGTGATTAAACAGCTGACCAAATAACAAGCAAACCTGTGACTGAATAGCTAACCAAAAATCAAGCAACCCTGTAATTTAACAGCTGACAAAATAACAGCTTACCTGTGATTAAACAGTTGACATCTCCTGAATGCGTTAAGGATCGGATCATTATATTCGTTTATCACATTATGTGTTGTGATGGGAGTCTTAATTCTAAGTGCACCTCCATTTAGCATTTCCGATTCGTGATGGAACCCTTTAAAGCTTTGAAATTACAAAAATTAGTGAAATGTCCACTTTTTCAAATTTAGAATATTTAGTTTTTCCAATCATGGTTTCTTTATATATATAAATTTAACTCGTGGACTTCTGCAACAGAAACAAAGGAGGAACTTGTCGGACTTAAACACTTTTAAGATGGAAAATAAAATCGTGCAAGGGTGTATGCATGTAAACATATGAATGGTTTAACAAATTTATACTTCCTGTAACATCTGATATTTAACACAAACTTTCATTTAGGTTTACTATTGGATTTGGTGTACACTATCACACATAAGCAATGCTTAGGATCGATTTCATTTTGATGCAAATCCGGATTAAGTTATCTTAGGACCCGCCCTGATAAAAACGGATCCGGATCAATGCTCTAACTTTTCTTCTAGATTTACAAAATTTTTAATCAAATGACGAGTTTCCAAATTTTCAAATTTCTATTGTCAAGTTTTTAATAATATATCTGCTTTTTTCCCCAGGGGGGGGGGTTAAAACTATTAACCTTTATTGAAATTCCAGAGACGGAGCTGATCAACCATGGGAATGACAATTTCCAGTTTTTCAGGGAGAACTAAGCCATTTAGCCCCCTTTCACCTTGTTGCGCCCCTGAGTTTACCTTGTTAGAAGATCTGAAGCATCAGGAATATATCCTCGGAGACATTTCTCATACAATCTCTTCCCAATATCCTTCTGTACAGCGTCTATAGTGTCCTTCAGCCCCTTGGTGATAGCGTGCCCCTTCAGGGACTCCACGTTGAAGGAGTTCGTAGGGGTCGGGAAGATTAGGAATGCAACAACAGTCACCTCGGAGTCTAAGATTAAAGGGATTGGCATTATTTATAAGAATTTAAAGTTTTATTTCAAAATCCTTTAAACTCTATACAACTTTATAGTATTGGATTTCAAACTTTTTTATTTTAACCTTAAAATTGCCATCCAATGGTTTAATTAGTTTTTAACCTGTGTTATTAAAATTTGATTATTTTTGAGGTTCTCGTTTCATAAAACATTTTTCCTGACCTCTATATAAATCTTCAGAGTCCGAATTTAATAAATTTGAGCCGCGTCGTAAATCCCCCAAAAAACGGTTTCAATTGAGCGCTGGCTTGAATCTTTAAAAATTGAATACAATTTTAAGGGGAACCAACCATATTTGAGCCGCGTCTTAAATTTAAGTCGCCGCGGGGCTTAAATTCTTTAAATTCGGCCTCTGAATATGTTTGATTTATGGCATTGCAAGTATAATGGGCTGATATGATTAATGCATAGAACTAAGAATTTTTTACCATCAAACTAATTTAAACTGCTTAAATACGTAATTTTAAAATGTGTGTTCATTATATTTGTGCAAATTCCATGAAATATGTGAAACATGTAAACTATTACTTGATTGTTTGAGTAGATGATTTAATCTGGCCAGGGCTTCAATAAATATATCAGCTCCTTTATTTGTAAACTCATACCTAAACAAATATATTAAAATTATCTGTCTGTAAACTCATACCTAAACAAATATATTAAAATTATCTGTTTGTAAACTCATACCTAAACAAATATAATAAAATTATCTGTTTGTAAACTCATACCTGAACAAATATATTAAAATTATCTGTTTGTAAACTCATACCTAAACAAATATATTAGAATTATCTATTGTGCCCTAGCTGGGAACTTTTATTGAATATTTGAATTATAATCCCAATCGCTTGATCTCAATATCAACTGTGTGCACTTTTATCGTCAGTTATTCCCCCCCCACCTTAAGAAAGCTCTCCTCAACCCCTGACGGGATTTAATTAATCTGTAGATTAACAGAAGTATTGATCTTGATATTAACCTGACATGTAATGATGTAATGTGTACCTGCCAGCTGTAAAAAAGTAGAGGGTATTGTCGAGATCAAAATCAAAATGCCCGTAGAAATGTCCACGAACAAATTCATTTATACTTTCCTTAAATTGATAACAAAAAAAATTATAAAGAATAATATTTTGAGGAATTGTATAGCATCGGATTGTATAGGCGTAAGTTCAAGTTACATTCCATTTAAAGAGGGACATGCCCGATTTACAACAGTACTCGTAAACCTTTGTTTTGTCTCGGCAAAAATTATTAAAATATCCCCAAATCTTATAGTAAACTTGAAGGATCTCATTACCTTACTCTTTGCATGGAGATTCTGAAACTCGTGAAGATCTCTTTTCACGTTAAGACCGTTGGGAGTAATAATGTCTGGCCTGAACAAATGAAAAAAGTAAAAATTCATATCGGCTGAAAAAAATAACGTTTCCCAAAATAAAATTCTTACTTTCGTTTTATAAGATGTTCCGACTCTATCCCAGTAATTTCTGATACGGTTGTGAATATATGCGCTAAATGTGCGGCACCACGCTCCAAGCAGTACCTTAACAAAATAAACAGTTTTCAAATTTAAATATTAAAATTTCAAACATAAATATGAAATAAGTATTGCAATTGCAGTTCAAAGTCGGTTGTATGTCTAGCATGATCTGATTGATGTTCACTATTAAACATGTTTTGTTAGTTATTTTGAGTTGCAGTAAATAAAGGATTTAGTTAATAAGTAATAATAACAACCAGTCAACCTTTGTAGAAATTAATGTACCAGTTGGCAAAAGCCACATATCTGACTTGAGATTTATTTCTTGTACATTCTATAAGTTGCACTGTACCGTGTTGAATGCGAACGTTAAAATGTTCAAACTGTACAGTAACAGTGTAATTATTTGTGCAAAAATTAACTGTACAATCCTAGAAAACCTAGAAAAAAACTTAACAAGAAAAAGTTTAGCATTTTTTCCTTCTTTTTTGTGATGGTAGGGGTTTACAAGCATTAGGTTTATTTGTTACCTTCCCAGCTGAGTTGCATGAGTAGTGAAGACTGTAGCAATGTCTAGTTTCCACATTCTTAACAAACCGTTAGCAAAATGATGCAAAAACTTCTTAAATATTTAAAATTTCATTAATTAACAAAAAAAACATTTGAAAATAGAAGTAAAAACATGTTGGAAAAGAAATATTCAGTTACCAATATTTTACAAGGAAAATACGAATTTTAACTAAACAAATTCATTCGTTCTATATAATTCTGTTCAGATATCAAAATCTTGAACAAATTATCAGTTAATCAATGGTTGTAAAGTTCTATTGTTAAATAATAATTACTAGGGTATTGTTTTAAATAGTAAACAGATCTCAATGAAAATCCATCCCAGGTAAAAACAAATTTACAAAAGGGAAAAATTTTAAAACTTTACAGGAGATACAACAAGAAACTTCTTGATCAATGTTTAATTAAAATCTATTTTATTTAATATTTATTTGTATAAGAACCTACCTGGACATGATAAGCCCTACCCCTGCCATCCATTCATGGAAGTGCGCGGCAATTCTCGGAGGAGAGTCGGAGAAATCCTCGGATTGATATCTATATTATTATTATTATTGTTCTGTTAATAAGTGAATTAGGAAGACGACTGTTAGACTTGTGCTATGAATGAACATAAAACACGGCATTTGTACATTGTTTACTATACACAAAACCGTGTCACTTAGCGAGAGTACCAAGTGTCGTCTTCCTCTTCCACAGCTTTATGGACCTACTTTAGTATAATCAGGTGACAAGCTTAATGGTAATTCGTTAAAACATTTTTATTGAAAAAAAATCTATGTTTTTAATGAGGGAACAGTGAGTAAGTATTGTATAAATTACTTGGTTTTGTTAACAAATTCTGATTTTGATTAATTATGTAAATCTTACCAGAACTGAGAAAAAGCCAATAGCATTTGTTTACTATACATGTAAGAATTAGGAACAGTTTCATTGTTGACACATTGAGGGTCAAATCAAATTAGACTTTTCTGGACGTCCAACTTCCACAATGCCGCCATCAACTAAATTGAAATGAATTGAGGTTTTACGATATGCAATGGTTTTACTTAAAACTATGTTTTCAGTCCCGCCAAAAAAAAACGTCCCAAAAAGTAAAAACATGAGTTGGTCTTTTATGAATTGAAAACACTTAAGGCCATTTTGAAATTTTTAACCTTCTTAATTTTGAAATAAATACTTGAAATTTTTAGAATTCTACCTGCTTAAATTCATCCAGCTTATAAGCAGCAGATCCAATATCAAAAAGTATCACTTGAGGGTTTCCTTCAACCAACCATCTAATAAACAACAAGGTCTAAAGGTTTCCTTCAACAAACCATCTAATAAACAACAAGGTCTAAAGGTTTCCTTCAACCAACCATCTAATAAACAACATGGTCTAAAGGTTTCCTTCAACCAACTATCTAATAAACAACAAGGTCTAAAGGTTTCCTTCAACCAACCATCTAATAAACAAGGTCTAAAGGTTTCCTTCAACCAACCATCTAATAAACACCAAGGTCTAAAGGTTTCCTTCAACCAACCATCCAAGATCTAATTGCCGTCAAATATACAAAAAGGACCTCAAAATTCTGGTATTTTAATATATTCTAAAACAAACATGATCATGAGTATTCTATTCCAAGGAAGTGAAGGGGGAGGGGCACAAATTGTACTGCTTAAATTTTACCTTCCACAGACAACTCTGTATCCTCTCTGTCGAAGAGCCTCAACAGATTTACCAAGAGGATGTGCAGGACTGAAATCCTCCTCCTCGACCTCCTGCCTAAATATTTAAAGTTAAAAAGTGAATAAAAGAAGATCAAGAGCAATAGTTCTAGAGGATGTATTCAAAGGCTACCGATATTTTCTGGTTTCATTCTCTTCAGATTTTATATTTGTAGGAATAAATAATGAGTTGGTTGTTCTGTTTTACCCGGGAGATCTGATATTTGTCTAAAACCCGAAGCAGTCATGCTGCTCCTTGTATTCGTTATTACCTGTCATGCTGCTCCTTGTATTTGTTAGTACCTGGCATGCTGCTCCTTGTAAGGACCAAGAAGAACATATTGATCTCCTAATTCTTGAACAGATACTCCTGTTTTGCTACGGATAACAGTGTAGATACCACCAACCTAAACAATAACAATAACAAAAACAGAACCAAAACCAAAAACAAAATCAATAACAATAACAATAACAATAACAATCGACTGTTTCTACACAATGACAATTAAACTAACAAAAATAAATTCACTTAAAAATACTGATCAGAATAATTCTTAAACAGCAACAAAATATGTTTAGTAAAAAGATCTGTATTCTAGTGATAATTCGAAGTTCTGATGAAAAAAGACCTAAAGAAATAACTAATAAAGAATAATTTTAATTTAGGGACGCTGACCTTGTTAGCAACCTCCCAGGCAGTTTCAAAACACCATCTGTTGTTGTCACTGAAGTATGATCCATGATCATAATACCTGAACAGGAAACATATGATAGAAGTAAGTAAAAAATGTGATTAAAGGCCTTTAGAATCTTTATTTGTGCAAGTTTTTAAAATCATATTATCCAAGATTTTCTGATGTTATAAATAAAACGTGAGTTCATAACTTTTTAATTGACGAAACTATTTATATATCTTAACAGCGATTGACCAATTTAGTATGATTGAAATTGATCGGTCAATTTAAAGTTTGCAGCTTTCTTTAAATGGTTTGTCTGTTCTTACAATTCAACTAAAAAATACAAACCATGAAGAATGAACTAAGAACATCGTTAGAATAAAGGCTTTTCAATTAATATAATAAAAATATAGCTTGATCGTTACTTGCTGAGATCGCCTTGGGAGTCGACCCTATAGAACCGCTTTGCTGCTTTCCCTCCTTCATAAATAATCATCAGATTAAAATAAAAACTAGGATTTCTAACAGATTTTATCTTTTCAATGATAGCAGAGAAATTGTTGTTAAGATATAGGATAGAATGAACGATACAATGCAGAGAATAAAAAGTGGGAATTTTTTAAAGCTCCAGTTTAGTTATCGCGGTAAGTCCTCGCTAAACACTTTTTTCCAGTCGTAAGTTACCATAATTCAGTGCACAACCAAATTTGCGCCAGTTTAGCACAATACTTTTTTGTTTTAATGATGATTTTCCTAAGCTCATCTTGCGTCCCAAATTTTCCATTTTCGCACCAGGTAGATAGTTAAAATTATTGTTATCTAAAAATAGAAATGTGAAACAATTATAATTGTGATGGAAATATTTAAACTGCGTACACTCTACAGCGATGAATTTACTTAAATAATTGAATACAGAATTGATGCATTGAATGAAGAGCACTAGCAGTGCTATTGTATGTAGAGATAATTTCTCAACCCTGAATTTCTATCAAAATCATCAGTGTCGATCAATTTTTAGTGCAGCTTCTCAAAAAAGATAGATATGGAACCTCTATGTTAACAAAAAAGTGTACTGCAGTTTCTGACAACTTTTAATTCCAAATTAAAATAATATAAACTTACTGTAGCCTCGCACAACGCACAACGTACAACGTACAACGTACAACGTACAACGTACAACGTACAACGTACAACGTACAACGTACAACGTACAACGTACAACGTACAACGTACAACGTACAACGTTACAACGTACAACAATTACGATTTTATAAAATGTCCTTTAGTTTTCTGAGGGAAAACTTTTGATCAATCAAGAAATGTATAAAACTCAATTCACTGTGAACATGTTCACGTGAGTATTATTATTGTATTAAATCAAGATTCTGTAAATGCTCAGACCCAACTATATAGTCACTAGGCAAACTTGAAATAGTGAGGGTATATAGTTAGTTAGTGAGAGATCTAGAGGATAAATTCAGGTACAGACAAATTCTGATTTTACACATCTTATATCTCTAGAGTATACTCATCCAAAACCAAATCTTTAGCGAGAATACAATTCCAACTTTAAATTACCTAAAATAAACTAAACATATTTACTACATCTAAAAATTAGTACCGCCTTGATTTTGGTCTAAAACGGGTTGATGAGAGTATATTTTGCCCTGCAAACAGGGTTATATGTAATAGTAAGACGCAGAAACAAGATTGACCGGTAAATACTGAAAATAATATATATACATGTATATATAGATATATATATATGTCCACTTCTGTCTAGCTTTCTATATTTCACGTGACTTTGAAAAAATATAAGCATCTAGATAAAGACTAAATATAATTTTTAACGTGTAAAATAAATCACGTCATTTTGGCAAAAATGCACCTTTAAATTATAAAATCAAATTGAAATCTTCACAGGGACGTACAAGGGGGGGGGGCCGTCCCCCCACTGAGGGAGGGCAGACGTAGGGAGTATTAAGAGGGAGTGTCGAATGGGTCCACCTGAGAAAATTTATTAACACTTGTAATATGGACGTGGGTACATGATCGATTAGATTACTTAGTTAAATACGGTATCAATATTTTTTTTAAAAAGGGGTTTTCAAGGGGGGAAGGGGCATACATTTCTTTTGCTCGTTTTCTCCGAAAACAAAAGATTAATTGCGTCTAAAAACCGGTTATTTGCTTTCCATGTTTCAATCAACGATCTACAACGAGATATTTTATCAGTCCGAGTTCAAGATTTTGGTCATATTTTCAGTCTTCATAAAACTTTTCAAATACTATATACAAATTCATACTTCTTTCGGGGTATTTTTTTTTGAAAATACGCATTATTAACCCTAATTTTGGGACTAGAAACACAATTGAAGCCCACCCCTCCCCCCTCAACATTTATTGCGTTTACTTTTAACTTTATAAAAATTTAAGAATAAAAACATAACATTTTGAATCCAGAAAAGTTTTTTATTTATTTGAATAAAAAATTGACAACTGAATTTTTTGCAATGTCTGATAAAATTTCTTACACATTTATTAAGATGACCGAATTTAGAGCTTTCACATTAACAACTTTTCAGAAGAGCATTTTCGGCCTGAAAATAAAGAATACATGCTTATTGCTTACTGATAAAATATTGGCATGCTTTGCTATTAATACAATTTACAATGAGTGGAGAAAATTGGTTAATAAATTACATAGACTAACATTTTTACTCAAACTGACAAGATGCAAAAAAATTGTTCAATTTATTTATCAAACATATTTGCAAGAGGATCCTTTTCATATTCATCATAGTTTCCCTCTTCCTCCTCCTCATCTGAGCTTTCAAATATATCACGGTCTATAAAACCTGGCTTCTTGGATACTTCGGTCATACTCTTAGGGTCACAGATCTCCTCTTTAGGAGCAGCTTCATCATTAGGATCATGATCTTCAGGTATCTTCCCAGAATCCTTACTGCTCATGACATCCACACCATCAAGCTCCATTTCAGTATCACTGATGTCATTTTTGACAGAGATTTTCTTCCCATCCTGAGAACATTTCCTTTTGAGGAGAGCAGGAAAAGAACTTGCTTCATCATCTTGCAATTCTGCAAAAGGATTATCTTCAAGATCTTCCCTGTTGGTGTCAGTCTTTGTTTCTGTAGATTCTTCAGTTTCAACCACAGAAAGATCATCATGATCATGGTTCTCAGAATCAATGCCCTCGCATTCATCAGCACCCACTTCAGATTTGTCTTCTTCCTCTGAGAAATCTGAATCTGTTTCGACATCCGACAATCCTAAAAAAAAATATCATGTTTCAGAGTAAAAACCATTTTTATTCTTTTAACGTAATTATTGAATATTCTAGATCTAAAGGGAACTTTTATTAATACAGTTTTCAGAGTTATAAGCCCTCAATGAATTTGGCCTGATGTTCTGAAATTACCATGATCTAGGTCCTCAAAGATTCTTGGTATATATGTCTTCCAATCCACAAATCCAGCAGAACCTGAAGGAACAACTCCATTAAAAGTTTAAAGGAATTAAAAGAGTTTAATTTCAAGTAACCCTCCAATGGCAAGATGTCAATGCCCAACTTGCAACGTTTGCTAAAAAGCTTTGTTTAATCATAATCAATAAAATACCCATATTGTTGTTTCTTTAACTTGTATTTTTCTTCATTTACGGTTTTGCGGTCCGGGAAACGACAGTATCTTCCAAACGTTTGATCATGTTAAGGTTTTCGGGTACGATTTTAAATCGGGCATTGTCATCTTTGCGTGGAGGGTCACTTGAATACACGCTTACAATCCCTTAAAACTTACAAATTTATATTCGCTATCTGACATATAATGTACAATGCATACATCAGAACATATTAAGACAAATTTAGACCTTTATTTTTAAAGTAAAATATAATGGGATCAGGTTGAAATAATTCAAAAGCATGTCGAAAAAAATGTTGGAATGTAAATCATGTTGCACGTGATGTGATGCATATATCCATTTTCAAGGACTTTTCAAATTTTATGACCAATAAACTAATTGAAAACGTATGATCTATTTTGGATTTTTAGATAAACATCAGCTCTTACACTTAGAATCAATAATGGTAGGGCTTAGAAATGTAGGCCTATTTTCAAGCGAACCATCATAAAAAGAGGGGCATGTCTGATGCACAAAAGTACCCTTGAAAGAGTCCTCTGATCAAGAACGCACAAAATATTCTCGTTAAAGTTAATTTTCGATTGTGGTTTCCCTTTAAAATTACTTAAACTATTACGCTTTTCAGTTTTCAAGCCAAAAAAGACGATATCTTCTTCATAACTGATCAGATATGGTTTATGTTCTAATCACCTCTTCTATCTCTATATCTGATATGCCGAGTAGGATTTCTGGTAGCAGAATTCTTCAGAACACTTTCGGAAATCCGAGCAGAGTTCACAGGAGTACTAGGTGGAGCTTTCAGGGTCATTGGAGTGCTGTGAGGACTATAGTTAACCGAAGTATCGCAGCTCAGGGGTGAACCATTACTCACTGCATCATCAACAGGACCCTTCAAAGAAAGCTTTTAAGAAGTTTCACTTTTTCCGCGACAAATGACATCTTTTGATCTAAAGCGTTGAAAAATTATAATATTCAACAACAAAAAACATTAAAATGTTGGTTATTACCTTTTCTACGTGATTAGACCCCTTCTCGCTATTCAGCTCTGAATCATCCTGGAGGGACATTCCACCATCATCATTATCTGAGCCGCAGTCCTAAATGAAAGTAAATTTGTAATAAAAAAAGAAAAAGAATGGAGAAATCCCAAATAAATTTCTAAACCCATCTACATGAAGTAAAGCTGTTCTATAAACTAATATAAAAAATCAGGAGCCAAGTTTTAGAACTTAGTAAAGTGGAATCATAAAAAAAGTTCCGAGTAATTGAGATTTAGCCTCATACAATGGTTCAAGGTATAATGAAGTGTCCAGATTCTAATTCAATTGAGAGGCTATATTTGAGACCATAACATAAAGAGGACAGACACAATTAGGTAGTCATGCAGAACCTAATTTTATAGAGAAGTCTTTATGGAACTTAATAAATTTAGAATTTTAATAACTAATTAGTCATAAATTAAATAGGATAAATTGAAAATTATAATAATTAATTCATAAGTAAAAAGTTGTCCCTCCAAAAAAAACTCCAAAAGTTAGTCAAAATTTTAATGTTTAAAAGTTTTTGTTGTAAGCTTCAAGAAACAAAACATAAGGTTGGGCTTATCTACTTAGGATCCAATTCAAGGGAAGGATTATGATGATGATTATTATTATTATTAAAGGACAACCCATCATTCAATGAAATAGGGGTCGGCGCTCCTAGCCGCCAAACGTATCCATGGGGTAACCGAACTGGCCACCCTAGGGAGAAGACTTATACTAGGCGGTCTGCCCAAGACAGCTCCATTAAAAATTAAAATTTAAAAATTTACCCAAAAAATTTCGACATTTATTACTTTTTGAAAAAATCCTGGAAATTTATTTTATTGGAGAATAATGAATAAAATGGCGATTTAAAAAGCAACAATTAAAGTTTAAAATTGTTGTTTTTATAAAAGACGAATACCTTAGAAATTATTGAAGATTTTTTACTGCTACATTGAGATATGTTCAAGACTGGATCTACTTCAGCATAGCAATCAGGTTGAGGTTCATTAATCTGGGCTGACATGAGAGAACCTCTCATGCAATCATCCTGGGAAGAACATTTCTCCAGAGAAGCAGAAATAGCTTTGGGCGCTGATACAACCAATGAAGGTTCTGCTGAAGGTTTAGCATTTAAAAGAGACAACCTTGATGATGATCTGGTTCCAGGGGTCATTAACTTCCTTCCTTTTCTAAACTTGTTTATCTTCGGAGAACCCTTATTAGGCGTAGATTGTGGAGACTTTCTTCCTTCATTCTCTCTTTCTGGACTTGGATAACTTTCAATTACCTAAAGCAGAATATTCTGTTAAATACATGTAGCTAATAAAATCTAACATATCAAGGGCGTAAAAAAATGTGTTCAGGGGAGACTTTATAAGCCTTCAGAGCCGTCCCCTAACCGTTACATAGTTATAAAACACCCCTGAAATAATAAACTTATCTTTAAAATAGAATAAATTTTGATTTGTGTGTCTTATCCGTTTAGATGATTTGTTAAAAGGTTTATTGACGACCAGTAAAAAACGTCAAAACGGCTAAACAGTTCGATCCCATGGTAGGTTTATAGATGGGTATAATTCAAAAAAGTTGTTTCAAAAAATTTAGAATTTTTAAATCCACGAAAAAAAATCGACAAAAGCGCAACAATTTAAAGATAAAAGCGAAGACATGGGGACGAAGCGCCCTGGACACCTAGTATTTCTATGATTGAAAGCAGATGGATCATTAACAAAAAGCTAATATTATTAGTGAATGAGAATAAGGAGCACCAAGCGGGGTGAAAGCCTAACTAAAATGGCCAATTCCAGTATGAGCCTGAACTAAAAATTAAAATCGAAACGAAACAAACAAAACAAAACTGACTGTCAAGGAAACTGTTCTTACGTTTCATCCTACACAGTACACATAAATACATGGTTCAAAAGAACCACATTTAGTTTAAGTTCTTAAATCAAGGATGAAAAAAGGGAAGGAGGGATTCCAGTTCTGGACTGCTAAATGGCCCTTACATCTTTTTGCGTAATTTTGCTACCAACATTTTAAAAATGAAAAATGTTATTCTTCCTTTCCCAACAGCTGAACAGAGAGGTGTAACATGTTAAAAAGGTTTTGAAACAATTTGTCCATTTTAAATTTATCTGGAAAACACGTCCACAAACTTTTCACAGCATAGAGAAACTTCTAAATAGAAGAGATATTTCTACTTGGGGTAAAGAAGGTTCCGTCTTCAGTTTCAAATTTTTTAATGCTAATTTTACATTCTTCCCAGTTTAAGGAAAAACTCCGCAAGACATTTTCGTCCTAGGATTGATCCGAATTAGATTGGAAAATTAAAACCTTGTTGGGCAGTGCCCAAATTCAAAACTGTTTAAGTTTAGGGCCTACAAATTTCTATTATCCCTTGATCATTAATAATTTGTTGCCTTACCCAAAAGGAATGACTGGTGTTCTGGTGACGACCTTGACAGGCAATTTACCATTAGCGCGGGGTTCTTTCTTCTTGTTCTTTCCTAACCAATAAATAAAGTTGTATTCTAAACCCAGGAGAATGTGTAAAAAAATCCCTACTTTGGAAGGGGATTCAAAAAGATAAAAACCAATATGAATCAAAATATGCTTAAATCACCTGGGGTAGGAAATCTGGGTTTCTTTGCAACCTTTAAATTCTTCCTCTGTATTTTTAACAGGTTCTTACCCCCAGAATCCTGAACAGTTAAGGTTTTACTCCAATTCCAATTCCAATTCCAATTCCAATTCCAATTCCAATTCCAATTCCAATTCCAATTCCAATTCCAATTCCAATTCCAATTCCTATTCCTATTCCTATTCCAATTCCAATTCCAATTCCAATTCCAATTCCAATTCCAATTTCAATCTCAATCTCAATCTCAATCTCAATTTCAATTCCAAAGTTTTAATCCGAAACAAACCTCTTGCGAATCATCATCTAAGTATTTCATAGCAGTTGCTCTGTGAAACAAAATAATATTAACTCCATAAAAAGAACTTTATTAAAATAAGAGCAAATTTTGTAAACTTCAAGCATCATTATTTCATAAAGAATTGTATAAGTTATTTTTTTTGTTCCTTTTCGAGGCTTTTGAAGTTCCCTGAGATTTCTTGTCTAGGTCGGAGTCATTTTCAGATGTATCAACATAATCCTAGATTAAGTTGACTAAAATAAATGTGTTCCAACGGCAAAATTACTTTTCTAGGGAGTCGTATTTACTAGCGATGGCAATGCCCGACTCACAACGGAACCCTTGAAACCTTTATTTTATTAATATTGTGGAAGATATTGTGGTTTTCCCAAGTTAATCTGTGTTAAATTCGGATAATTCCTGCATGTTTTTCTGCAGTAGAAATGTAAAAATAATCAGTTTTCAAAATTGTAAACATTGATATTTTATTCATACTTGACCAGGAAAAGCTTTTATGGGTACCATTGTGAATCTTTGCATCGAGGGTCACTTAAAATTACGGCAACAGTCCCTTGAATGAAAAACCCGAAATTTTTAGCATTTTCTTGATTATTGTGAAAACTTCAGAACTATTTAATACCAAAATAATTTGCCTGTATTGATACTTGAGATGAATCTTCAGTGATTCCACTGTCTTTACTGGATATTCTCCTGAACAAGCAAAATTACAAAGAAACATTTTGCAACTTTTTTATGCCTAGGGTAGGGTAGAGGACAGTCAAATAGGGTCGAGTCACATGTAAAAAATAAAAATCGATATTTTAGACATTTTTCTCACCGTTTTATTTTTTTCAATGTATTCTATTTAAGTTAGAGGAGGTCTAAGTTTTTGCTTAACTTGAAATTTGGACTAGGGACATGTATACCACTCCCCTATCATGTAGAGTGAGGTAAAAAACCCTCCCCATATATACTTGACAAAAATAGGCTAACGGGGAAGGGTTGAAATCAATAAATGATTTAAATTAGAAAAGGAAAAATCTTAATCCATTTTTTTATAAAGAATACTTTAATATATATCTGCGTTTAAAATACAATATCTTCTCTTTAGTAATACTTAAAATCAAATTATGTTTGTTTAACGCAAATACAAAGTATTGATTGATAGCTTTTCAAGTTTTTCAGTTTAGATTTTCTACAAGGGTTTTGGTAGTATGCGTTTATTATTAAAGCTAAAATCAGATCCCAATTTTTGTATTTTAACTGCAATCTTGACTAGGTTTTTTATCAAGCTCCAGATTTTAGATTTTTAAGTCAATTAATTTTTCATCGAAAAGAAGTTAGTTATTCACCTTTTCCTTTTGCTAGAGTCTGGACACACCTTTCTCTTGCTGAAGTAATTATTGGCAAACCTAAATCTAAATTGTCATGCTTAGATTTAGAATAAATGATGAATGCAGAGTAAAAATTAACCTTTTAGTACATTTCTCCTTCATACGATCCAGAAAAGACAACTTTTCTTGAGTCTCAGAAATCTGAAAAATATTTCATAATTTCAGAATTTTTTAATGATTTTGAAATACCTTATTAATTAAGCACCTCATCCCTTTCTTTACTTGCTTCAAATAGATGGCTGGAATACATAATTAGACAATAATTATAGCTTACCTCTGTCCTTGGAGTTCTTTTAATATTCAGTGGTTTGTATCTATGTATATTCATTTTGGTTAATGAAAGCAATTTATCAGATTTCTTAACTTTCTAATTAACTTTATTTTCTTTTTTTTCTTAAAAATGAAAATTAACCTTGAGAGTTGGATTACTTCAGCACATTCCTGCAAAAATGATTTGACGGAAAATGAAGGGGACAGTAGAACTGGGTTTATGGCACTTTACTAACACTGATTGTTATAAATGAGAACTAAGTACAAGATTGGGTTTACAGAATCCCCTCCCGCAACAGTCATATTGAAAATTATGAATAACGTTTTAGTGAGCAAGAAGAGGACAATAATTATCATGTTTGAATCAATAAAAAAAAATATTTTAGATTAACAATTTCCTGCATTTCTAGACAATTTTTTAGTAATATTAAAGGGAGTGTTCGCGAAAAATGAAAGGGGGTATAGACTTAATGCGATAAAAAAGCGCTTTTGATCGCTACAAATCTTAGTTCTATCTGTTGCGTCTATAAGGAGAAAATTGTTAAAAACGACTAATACCAAAGAACGTAATGTCCATACAAATTCAGTAATAAAGTTGTCTTTTTCAAGCGTATATATTTTTCAATCCAAGCTGAATATGCATGTATTTATTGAAAATGGGAAATACTAAATATTGAAACAAGAAATTTCCACCTTAAACTTTACAAATGTGTGAGAATTAGTTTTTATTCTTGATTTCATTTTAATTTCCAAGCAGTTGATTGCGAAACATTAAAAATACTGTGCTTTCAAAATAATAAAATATTTATGACATTGAGATATTAAAATAGTAATCTTATTATGTTCTTAAAATAAGAATGGCAAGATTCAACTAGAAATGCGTAAAATTATTCACTAGAAATAACTCATCTTTATTAACCAATAAAATGTGGAAACCTAGATTCTTAAAATGACTCGGCTTTAATTTATCCTTTTCCAGATAATTTTATCAACAGTGAGGTTAGTTTTGAATTGCCGATTATACTCCAAACAGGAAAATGAGATTTGTTCTGAAAACGCGACAAGCATAATGGGACATAGTTATCCTCCTCATGCTGAATAAAAAATATTGGTTCTAGTTTGGTGTGCACCCATGATTAACACTCATTGTTAGTAAAGGGCAATAAGCCTGTTTAGGAACTATAGAATACAGATTTTTTTTCATCAACTGCAAATTCACAAAATTGTTTTAACCATGTACAGGGTTACCCATAACAGATAAGACTTTAAAGACGACATGAAACTCTTTTGATACAACCATTTGAGGGTTGCATTTTGGGATCTGTCAGAAATACAGTTTTCAAATGGTATATAAGAGGGATTGGAAGTGATAAAAACAAGTTTAGCGCTGCATAGGAAACTATTAATGTAAGGAAACAGACTGAATATATTCCGTATAGTCGTATCTGAATTCTCATCCCTGTACATATGAAAAATAATTAACCTGAAAAGATCCTTTCAGATTAGGATCGTCATATAAATTATCATAGACATCCATTTTCCTGAAAAAATTGACGTTCAAAGGATACACATATTTATACCATCCAAGGAAGAATATCTTCCATTTTTCAAAACCTTGAAAAGTTTGAGAATTACATAAAAAGGTATTACAATTATTACAAAAAAGACAGAAAAAAACTGTTTTAACACATAATGTAACATTTTTCTTGAAAAAGAAAGATAAAATGATTTGGTAATTGACAATAAATTTTATCAACGTTCAGCATCATGAAGAGTTTAAACAGTGTGTACTACATTGAATAAAGATTAAATGTTGAAGACTTGACTTTAACGCTTTTCAATATGGTATTTGATTATGACTTCTTTACCAATTTTAAGCATCATGGCATTTGAATAGTATACAAATACAATGAATAAAGATTAAAAAAGATATGTTAAAGTAAACTTGACTTTAACAATTTAAATTTAAAAAGGAAATGCCAGGGGATGCAGAGAAAAAATGGCGAATTCGCAATTAAGCATTAACATACAAAATTTGATAATTTGACTTTATCTAATGTATTTAACGCTGTAATCATGGTAAAAGTCCAACAGCTTCTGAAGAATCTTCTTGTTAGTTAAAAATGACCTCCATCACCTAAATGCAATAAAAAGTCTGAGCATGTTTTTTGCTATTTGAAATCTTAGTAGTCTTTAATGATAATATAATTTGTTTAAAGTCTAACTTTAAGATTCATCCATCTAATCAAAACTATCCCCGGGTAAATTAAAGACAAGTCTAGGTCCAATGACACCTTCAAAATAAGTTATTAAATTCTTCGATGTCTCTAACATACAAGTATGCATTTTTAAAGGAATTAAAGGCCTAATTTCAAGTGATCCTCAATTTCAAAAGTGGTTTGTTTGATTAAAAACAGTATTCTATTAAGGTGAAAAACGATATTACTATTACTTGTATATAGAGGATTAATGGACACCATTATGAATCAGACATGCTTCCCCAAAAACGGAGGGCTAAATTAAATAGCATAACAAGTCACTTTGAACTTGTATAAATATTTTACCTCTGAGCACTCCAAGAACTCAGTAACCTTTCCAACTGGGCTAGTATTCAATGACTGATATCCATCATCCTCCTAACAGCAATGACATATTTTGTTAAGAGTAAACATACTTACAAACAGTTGTTTGTTAAAGACTTTATTATAAATAAATATTCCGCTTTAACCAAAACAAAAAGGCGTTTGTTGAAAACTTTGTTATTCCACTTTATACCAAACAAATCCCGGGGGGGCTGGCCGATTGGATTTTGCGGGGACAGACAGACAGACTTAAAGCATAAGTATAAGCTTAAAATATGTCTACTAACAACCACAATAACCATGTGGAAACATGCGGAAACACATTACACAACATTGAACATTGTTTACACAAACAGCTTGGCAACAATCAAAAACACAACAACATTGATTACGCTAAATACAACTCCATTGACTACCTGGACATCTTTGAAACAATCAAAAACAATAACGTTGATTACGCTGAAAATTTTAGAACAATAAAAAACAACCACATTGATATTGATTATACAGATAGCTTGGCAACAATCGGAAACACAATAACATTGAATATGCGGACAGCTTGGCAACAATTGGAACAACAACATAAAACAAAAAGTTGTGTGTCACTGTATTATTTATCCCTAAATCAAAACAAAAAGGTGTGTGTTGAGCACTTTATTAACAGCTAAAGATGTCTTATACTATATTTTTGACAAGAAGGTTAGGGGGGGTGTTTTCTAGTCAGTGTTGCATTTTTGTCAAGTAATAGACAAAGACATGAGCACTGATATGGACATGACATTACACAGGCTGATTCAATAAAAGTGCAGAAAGGACAGCACAGGGAAGTAAGAAGCAATTAAGTATGAGAATATGAGAGAGCATTTTTTAAGGAGCCAGTGAACCCAGCAAATACAAAACAAGAGAGGAAATGATACACAGAAGAGAACAGACGAAAACAAATCAATTCCTTAAAAGAAAAAATTCTTTATTTTTACTTTTATGACTGACAGAGATAAGGACCAGAGAACATAACTCATTTATGTTCGATAATCCAGCTTTCTAAAAGTCGTAAGCAAATTAATGCAACATGCGATTGACAAAAATCAAAATCATTTATCCAAACCTATTAGTTAAGACTAAGGAAAAACAGGAAGCAAAATTAGCCCACGTTAAATAAGTTTTCACTCTGGTTAATAGGGATATCCATTGTCAAGTTAAGACAACGGTTCAACGCAAATTGTTGGGGTACATAACTTTTAACCGATCTTGGGCAAATCATAATAAAAGAAAGACCTCAATAACAAACTGGAAATAGGTTTACTTATATATCGTTTAATTTATATGCATGAGCTTGTGCCCACACCCCTTAATCAAAATAGATTATTTAAAAATTCATTCTTAAAACAAAAATAAAAGGTGTGTGTTGAGCGCTTAATTATTCTTCCTGAACCATATTCAGGCTGATGTCTAGTTTACCCAAAATAGTCGGGGGGATGGGGGGTTCCCCTGTATTTCCTTTTTGTGATACAAATCTATAACATTTGATACGTTTTTAGAAAGCCCTTTGGCTCTACTTAAAAAATCTGCAAATTTTTTTTGCAAATTTGCACAATTTCAAATATTTATTTCAAAATCAAGCTATGAAGCAAAAAATATGAAAAATCTTTGCAAAAATCTATGCAAAAATTGTGCAATCTGCTTCCTTTCGATTAAAACTTTCCAAAGAGCTATACGAGCCAAAATCCAATAATTCTAAATAGGTCTAAGGATAGATTTAGTCAGGTAAAGGTAAAATAAGGCATTCAGGACTCGTGCAGTAGTTTTAAAACCCCATCTTTGATCTGAAATTGAGGGGCATGTGCTAGTTTTAAAAAGTCCTAAAATTTGAACAGCCAATACTTTTTTAGTTATCTTTAAAAAAACGTTAAAAAGGTTAACTCCTCTTTAAATGAAATTTGGAAATTATAAGAAAAATACGAACTTTTGATAAATCCATATATACCCCATCCCCCTATTTCTAGTCCTACCATGGATACGTCAGTCTCCTCAACAGAATCCTTCATGAATGTCTTGATGAGAATTTCTGTGTAGGGTTCAGCAGCTATCTTAGAATATCCTTAATATATATACGAGGTGTGTTTGATCAAGAATGCGAATGATGTGTGATTTCTCTATTTATTGGAGAATTTGTAGGACTTTTAGCTTGCTAGAAAGGTATTGTTATATATGTATGAATTAGCATAATGCTATGCATACCAAATTACTATTAGTTCACACAAAACTAATTATTACACACATCACGAGACAAATACTTTATTTATTCAAAAATTGATATCAAATGATTATTATGTAGAATGCAGGAATATAATTTTGAGACTCTCTAACAGAAAACCACTATTATTCTCCTCTCCTTGTACAGTAGATCATCATCGACTGACTCTGGTTTCTGTCCAGGTTGACCTGTCACCTAGGTCAGGAATCCCTATTTTCCCCAAAATGCGAGGTGAACTATCCATTGGATATCCCGGTTTCTTTCGGGCCTCTGAACTCGTTGTCAGGTTAGAAATAGATTTTACCCACTAGAATATATACAACAGAAAATAGAGATAAATATTCCCTGTTCACAAAATTATCGTTTTGCTTTTGCTCAACTGCTACAGTATTTTTGTTATCGTTTGAAATTCAGTCTTCAACCATATTGTTGGTTTAAATATTTCCTAGGCAAGTTTTTCATGCATTAAATTTTTGTTTACCCAAAGTTTAGAAACTAAAACCATATAAATTGTTTTGGTTCTCAGCACAAACAAAATAGGCACCATTTGATCATTTTAAAATACTTCATACCCAGAAATTCAGCAAAAAAAACCCTGCAAATATTTTTGGCTCCTCTATGCAAACATATCTAATTTCCAGGGGGGGTGAATTCTTTTTGACAGGGGGAAAGATTTTTAAGAAATATGCAACTGTGAAAGACGATGCCAGGCCGCGTTAAATAGTTCCACAAGATTCAACAGAATGAGATAGAACAGATACAGGGCACAGTACTGATAAACATCTACACGTGTGATATCAATAATTACTCTAGTTCTGAACCCTCTAGTAATAAGTTATAAGAAATATATATACTGGAAGTTATTTACACGTTTTTATTAGAGTCTGACTCACATCCTCTATATTGGTGACCCCGACTTTGAACATACAGTTAAACACTATCCAGTTTCGTGATNAGCTTTCTTCTCTGCCAAGCTCTCCGCCACTCAACAGAGGTACTCCGCCTTCGATAGAGAACTCCTAGGAGTGTTTCTTGCTCTCCGCCATTTCCGCTTTGAGTTGGAAGGATGAAAATTTTATATAGTCCTTGGGCCTCACCTCTACATATGGTTCAAAAATCTGATGAATCCTGGCGTCCTTGCGGCGATTACCACCGTTTAAACAATGTTACCAGACCAGACAGGTATCCTCTCCCTAACATTCGTGATTTTAAAAGCAATTGAAGAGGTTGCAAGTTTTTCTCCAAACTCATCCTAGTGAAGGGTTACAATCAGGTTCCCATGAGTGAGGCAGATATTTGTAAAACTGCCATTTGGATTGTTTTAGTTTTTATATATGCCATTTAGACTGAAAAATTTGGCTCAAACATTTCAACGCTTGATGGACAGGATCTTTAGAGGATTACCCTTTGTTTTCATCTACTTGGATGACGTCATGATTGCCATTCGGACCAGGAAACTCCACATCAGGCATCTCCGGGTTGTCCTAGAGCTGCTGGTTCAGAATGGATTAGTGTTGAACCTGGATAAGTGTAGTTTTGTACAACACAAGATCGAGTACCTGGGACATAAGATTACTGTTGATCGCATCATTCCACTACGTCGTCATGAAGATGCCCTACTCCTCCAACCACGTCCCCAGGATGTGCGTGGTCTCCAGAGGTTCCTAGGCATGATCAACTTTTACCGCCGTTTTTTACCTGGAATTGCAAGAACTCTCCGCCCTCTCACTGATGCCCTAGCTGGAAATCCTCGGGTTCTTAACTGGTCCCAGGAGTTGCAAGACGTCTTTGATAGAGCCAAATCCGCCCTTTCTTCCACTGTGTCTCTCACACATCCTTCTCAATCCGCCGAGGTGTCACTCGTCACCAATGCCTCCAACACACACGTGGCAGCAGCTCTACAGCAGAAAGAGTCAGGCGGTTGGCGCCCCCTAGCTTTCTTCTCTGCCAAGCTCTCTGCCACACAACAGAGTACTCTGCCTTCGATAGAGAACTCCTGGGAGTGTTTCTTGCTCTCTGCCATTTCCGCTTTGAGTTGGAAGGACGAAAATTTCATATACTGACTGATCATCTTCCCCTGGTATCAGCTCTCTCACGTGTTTCTCCGCCATTGTCCGCCCTTCAGCAATGCCAATTATCCTATATCTCAGAATTCACCAGTGATCTCCGCCATACACCTGGAGCTGCAAATGTAGTGGCTGACAATCTCTCCCGTCCCCCTCCAAAATCTCCCCCTGCTCCACAGCTGCCTCCTTCCCCTGGAGTTAAGGTGTCTGAGGTGTCGGCAGTGTCTGAGGTGTCAGATTCAACAACTCCATCACCTTTTCCAACTTCTTCAGTGATTAGTTTTTCAGAATTAGCCAAAGAACAGCTGTCCTGCCCTGATATACTCCGCCTAAAGGTTTCCCCCACCCTCCGCCTCGTAACTGTTCCAGTACAGGATGGTTCTCTGCTCTGTGACGCAAAGACCAAGGTTCTCCGCCCATTGGTCCCATCTTCTCAAAGGTTTAACATTTTCTCCGCCTTACATGGAATATCACATCCTGGAGTTCGTGCATCCAGACGTCTGATTTCTACAAGGTTTGTCTGGAGGGGCTTAGCCAACAACGTCCGTGACTGGTGCAAAACCTGCCTGCAGTACCAACGAGGAAAAGTCCTCCACCATGTTCACATTTGCCCTGAAAAAATTCTGGTACCCTTCAGAAGATTTGCACATAAGCATGTAGATCTTATTGGTCCCTTACCCTCATCTCATGGTTTTACATACCTCTTCACATGCATCGACAGATCAACAAGATGGTCTGAGGCTATACCTCTAACTGGGATTTCTGCGGCGGAGTGTGCCTCCGCCATGTTCCATGAATGGATCTCAAGGTTTGGCGTACCTGCAGTGATTACAAGTGACAGAGGAGCCCAGTTCACTTTATCCCTCCCTTCAGTCCAACGGCATGGTGGAAAGGTTCCACAGGCAGTTAAAGAATTCCCAATTGATTTTAGATCTACTTTCGTAGTCAGCCCTAGAAATAATTTTCATCATTTTGTAGACGGTTGAATACTATACATATACATCCTAGCTCTAGTTTGAATTAAGAAACTAGTAAGTTTAGGATCAAAAGACTCAGGCAGAGAAACTTCTTCTCAAACAGTTTAAAAGTACCCTTCAGTGAAGTCATCTCCTTCATAAACCATTCTTGGAGTTGAGTATAATTACACTTAACTCGTTATTCTGATTTTTTGATCTTGTCATTGTAGAAAGTCAAATGAGCTTCTACAGTTCTGATATGTTGATTTATGTTGATTTATGTTGATTTATGTTGATTTATCTTGATTTATGTTGATTTTATGTTGATTTATCTTGATTTATCTTGATTTATGTTGATTTATCTTGATTTATGTTGATTTATCTTGATTTATGTTGATTTATCTTGATTTATTTTGATTTATCCTGATTTATCTTGTTTGTTAAAACTAAACTTTTCGCAGTTTTTTTTATAAATGCTTCTTTGTTCTTTTCTATGTTCTGATGTTGATTTTCCATCTTTTTGACGATTTTATCTTTCTATCCTTCTTCCAAAAATTTAAGAATCTCTGCCATAAATACTTTTTCTCCCGCACAATGTACTGCAAGACATTACCCTTAGTCTGTTTAATTGATTTTAGATTCCCTACGTGCACCTCTAGCCTCCTCCAATTGGTTTGAACACCTACCATGGGTTCTATTAGGTTTACGTACATCTCCCAGAGAAGACTCCGCCACAGCCGCCTCTGAAGCTGTTTATGGTTCCGAGTTAACCCTGCCTGGCCAGTTCCTAGAAATACAAGATCCTCCAACAAATCTGTTCTATGAAAACCTTAAAAATTTGATGTCTGGTTTTCAACCTGTTCCGCCTTGTCATAATACTCCTGCAGCTGACACTCTTTCAGAAGTTATTCCTGCAGAACTCTCATCTTGCCCAATGGTTTTTATAAGCAAGGATGGACATGTTGCTCCTCTAGCCCCCCTCTCTACGAAGGTCCTTAAAAGGTTTTAGCCCGCTCCCTTAAAACCTTTCAGCTCCAAGTTTGCAGGAGTGTAGAAGTGGTTTCAGTTCAATGCCTCAAACCAGCTTTCACAGCAGATGATGAGGCTCCAGTAGAACCTTCACGCCGGGGCAGACCCCCACGCCAACCTCCTCCGGTTCTTCCTGATCCCCCTAGACGTAGAGGACGACCTCGGAAAGCTGTTGCAGAAGCCTCCGCCGTTACTCAACCAAAGAGGAAAAGAGTGACTTTTAACCTAAAACCAAAGATTTTACACCAAAGGCTTCAACTAATTAATGTATGCTCAAACCAAGCGAAGCCTACGCATGAAATATACAAGGTTCTTTAATATAGATACAAATTTTTCCTGAAAGAGGAGACAACAAATATTTGGGAAAAGGTTTTACCTGTAATCTCTTCAAGAGATTTTGGCCACTTTGGAGTGAGACCAAAAGCTATTCGAGCAGAAAGCAGTAGTGAGGAGGCAAGCAGACTTAAAGAAACTTTAAATACATTAATCCACAAACATTTATTTAATCTGTATGTAGGACTGTAAATGATTGTACAGATAAGAAAAATAAACTTGCTAACTAGCTAGGTTCAAGCATTTTGAACTGCTATTTCTCTTGGTCAGATATTTGTATAGGGAGAAATCTTTCATGTTCAATACTTTTTGTTGAATATACATATTGTCACATCTTTAACTTGCTTAATACAAAACATCAAGGACTATTAAGTATGAACTTGGAACATATCTAAACCTTTTTACTGAGCATGTTCCTTTAAAAGGTATAAAACCTAAATTAGATTGGTTTTTACAAATTGTATCATTCAAAATATTTCAAAATTACACAAGTCAAAATATTACAGAATACCAATTTAAATTTTTTTTGTTCTCTTACCTGGGCCTGGCATCTATAAATACTTCCTCCTGCATTGCCAAGTCCAGGAAATATTTGACATATTGGTAAAAATATGCCTTAGCCTCCCTTCAGTATACCGAATAAATAATCAAAGGTCAAATCTTTTCAAAATTAAAAACTGAATTCATTGAGCAAAGTCATTTTTTTGTCAATTTTTCAGAGCTCAGTTTCCAAACTTTTGAAGACCAGGGGGGATAAATATATGTATTATGTATAGAGTAAAAATAAATTTGCAACATCATGAAAAAGACATTTATTGAATTTAACCTTCAAATCCCTGAAACTGACTATTGGACCATTGTTATGGTGATCAGTAGGCAGGCAGGCATAGGAGGTCCACATCTCTTAATATTTATAATTTAGTTATTTGTAGAAGCATAGGAATTCTACATTGATTGGGTTGACTCATATCTAGACTAATGTTAATTTAGAAATTTATCACAGCATTTAGTAATTTCAACAAGAGCTGCCAAACTGAGAACTGTTAATTGGGCACAAGAAAATAAACAAATTGAAAATCAATTTATCCTAGTGTTAAAGTTAGGTAAGGTAATAATATTCCCAGATAAATATGTAAAATAAATGAAGTCTCAAACTATTTGAGAGAAAGAAGACCTTTATATTATCCTAAAGTTCAGCCAAAAGAGTTAACTGCAAACTTTAGCTCCAGCTAAAGATAATTTAGCTCCAGCTAAAGATAACTGCATAACTAGAACATAATGATAAAAATTTGCTAATGAATTTTTTTATTAAAAACGTTGTTCTTAATTCCAGTTTAGATTCTTCAAAAAAGAAAATAAAAAAGATTCACCTATAATTATCCTCATAATGCCTTTATTTGTCACCTGTAAAATAACAAGCAGTAGGCAGGCAAAGATTCCACTTGAAGTATTTCAAAATCACGATTCTAGTAAAAAGTCCAAAAACTACTTTTTACACTGCAAGTTTTGATAGTAAGCTGAATATTTACAATGAACTCCTCATTTATGGGATAGGCTCTGCTGTACAATATTTGTTTATTATAATCAATTTTAGTTCAAAACATCAAACTTCGACAGGAGATATTGCTATGTAAACAAACAAACAAACAAACAAACAACCAAAACAAACACCCAAATCAAACAAACGAACAAACATCAGCCATCATTTCATAGAAGTCCTGGAACTGTTGTCCATATGTTAAAACTTGAGTGCAATTATCGTAAATGCTTGATATTCTAGAAACATTGTAATACGGCATGTATAGATTAACTGTATAATGTGACCCGTTAAGAAATCAGCATCAAGTTCATAATATCAAATTTCCCCATACAATCAAACATTACCAATTTAAATTCTGAATTAAATATAGATCCTGTTTATTTAGAATTGATACTTACTCGAGAGATATGAAGTCTGATAATGGGAAACGATTCTTTGTAAACGCATTCAATTCCGAGCATTTGGGAACATTTGTGTCCTGAAAATGAAGCACATTTACAAAAAATACCTATATTTGTTCTATTCACTATAATATAACTATATAGTATCGTTCAAATAAGGAAAGGCATAGGATGACCAATCAGCTATTGGCCTAAAAAATAACTGGGAAAAGGCACTAGGGGGGGGGGGGGGGGGGCACAAAACGTATTACTCTCCAGTGTTCAAGCATAATTTGCATTTTCGTAGGACGCTGATTTTGAGCATGCGAACTCACCAATATGTATTGTAACGTCAAATGCAATTTAAAAAAGATCGGAGCACAAATGCGAGTGCGCGTGCGCTTCAAGTAGAAAAATACGACTTTTTCATATTGTCACGCGCTTTGCACCGTTAAATGAACTTGAATTTGCATGAGGACGCTATATAATCCCTGAAAAGAAGGAAATAATTGATTATGAGAAATCCATTAACAAAGAGTTTAACTTAATTCCACAATCTGAATCCACAAACAAAGTAATCGCAATATTAACTATTGAAAAAATGATTTCTTGTTTCAAGCAATTAGGAGTCAATATATTCAACCTTCTCCTCAAACTTTGCAGCCAAAAGAAGAGAGCCTAGACAAACCAAGAACAGCTGGGGATTCTAAAAAAATTATTTTATTCTTTCATCAATCAAAATAATTTAGAGGTATGATTCTAATGAGAAAAAAGGTTTAAAATTTAATCTAGCATGACTGTCCATGAAGTTTGATCTGCATATCATGACCATCTATATCGTATGACCTGTATATCATGACCATCTATATAGTATGACCTGTATATCATGACCATCTATAAAGTCTGATCTGTATACCATGACCATCTATATAGTATGACCTGTATATCATGACCATCTATATAGTATGTTCTGTATATCATAACCATCTATATAGTATGACCTGTATACCATGACCATCTATATAGTATAATCTGTATACAATGACCGTCTATATAAAATAACATATATATATACATATAATGACTATCTATATCGCATGACCTGTGTGCCATGGCCATTGGCCATCTATATAGTATGACATGTATACCATGACCATTTAAATACATGACCTATATACCATGACCATATGTATAGTGTGATCTGTATATCATGACCATCTATATCATATGATCTGTATACCATGACCATCTATGAAGTATGATCTGTATACTATGACCATCTATAAAGTATGATCTGTATACCATGACCATCTATATCATATGATCTGTATACCATGACCATCTATATTGTATGATCTGAACACCATGACCATCTACATAGTATTCAACCTGTATATCATGGCCGTCCATGAAGTAGTCAACAATTTTGACTGCAAGGTGCACAGTGCAGTTGGTTAACTGCAGCTTTTCAGCAACCTTACTAGTCCAGTCTACCAGAACTCGCCTAGAAAATATTATAAATATTACTATATTCAAGAACATTGAAATAACTGCCGCGCTTGTAACCCTTACATGCCCTAGGAACGTTTTCGACCTATAATTTGGTTTTATTTCTAAAATTAAATGCAGATCTAATTTACTACTCCGTAATTTTTATGAAGAAATTTAACTAAAAATTAAGACATCAGTGGCCGAATTTAAAGAATTTGAGCGGCGGTTTAAATTTAAGCCGCGGCTTAAATATGGTTGGTTCCACTTAAAATTGTATCAAATGTTTCAAGATTTAAGCCGGCGCTAAAATTAAACCGGGGTTTGGCGGTAAATCCGCGGTAAAACCGCGGCTCAAATTATCTAAATTCGGCCACACAATGGCTTTATTAATATCTTGTCAGCTGTGTTTTGAGATGGAATTAGAGAGCCAATTTAAACCTAGGAAGTAAAATGTTGCGGATCCGAATCCTGAAAATAGCGAAAAAAATGTCGAGATGAAAAAAATATACACCAGTCCTTGGCCAATGTTTAACCAAATATAAAGAATATATATTAGAGTGGAGTTTACGGCCATTTTGTTGTACTGTTTCCATACTGCGGTGTACTTCACATATTTGTGCTATAAAACCTTTTGGGCCCTGGAATAGAAAATCTAAAATTAATATTAAAAGATAACCAAATTATGAAATAGGCTGGTTTTATCATTGACCAATGATCTTTCACTTTAAAAACGATGATTTTTTGTTATAAATATAAATCAAATGATGTTCTTTAGTCACCTTATTCATTTTATAAAGTTTATTTAACAGCTTTAAAAAATTCGAAATTGAAATGGATAGTCAAGGGAACATGCTGTATCAATGTACTCTACTGCATATAATTTGTAAACATTTACATGATTTGTACACTTTGAACTCCCTTTCAGGTTGAAAGGGACTGAAAAAATTCATACCGAAGGATTGTCTAAATTCCACTCTAATATATATTCTATTCTCTATGTGTATAACCCATGATGATCATGTGGCTGAAGGAAGCTATTATTAGCTATTATTTATAGACAATATTACAATACCTTCTCGATAGCTGTGGAGACTGCCTTTTAAATTCTGGAGTTAGTAGTTCCCTTTTCTTCAACCAAGCGATTATGTCCTAAAGATTGTTTTATCAGAAAACCTGCAGAATTTGAATGTAAATACAGCGAGTAGTTTCTTTGGATGAACCCATGAGTTAAGAAAGTTACAGAGATCGATTGAAAGAGGTGGGGGGGGGGGGGGGGGGGAGGCAAGCCACACCAGCATAGCTTCCTGTCCACAATTTACTCACATACATAGACTCGCATCACACCGCTCACCCGTAGGGCTTCCTTAGCCACACCCATATATCTTCCGGCAAAATTTCTACTTTTGAATACTTATTAAAGAGGAATGCAGCGTTCAGTTAAGATTCTAAAGACGTCATGGCATCTATTATAACCTCTGCTTATTTATCATATTTTTTGGGGTAGTATAAGTAAACATTCTAACTCCTTGGACCAAAAGTTGTAAAAATTTTTATCGGATCAGTGTTTCAGTGTAAATCATGAGTTGCAGCATTTGCTTCTACCCATATAGCTTCCATTCCACAATCTCACAATAAAGACAACTTTTCAAAGAATTTAAATATGCCTTAATAAGTACTATTTACACAAAATGTTCTCATGAGCAATATTACGTTATGAAACTAAGGCATTATCTTTCTGAAAATGTATTCATTTTTAATGTAAATTTGGTTTCCACTCTGTAAAAGGACAGTGAACTTTCCTGGTAAGAAGTGGAAGTTTTTGCAATTTCCTCATCAACCACAATATTTCGTACATTTGGACTGATGTTAATCTTCTCTAACATATTTTTGAAATTGCGGATAAGTTCAATCTCTGCAAGAGACAATGCAGTTTTGTGTATGATTAGTTTTTTAAAAGTAATAAAAAAACAATTTTGTATCAATTATTGTCGCATAACGTTGCCAAAGGGAAGTTTAAGTAATTTATGGCTGAAATTAAGTATTAAAAATTACGACATTTTGCCGGAAGATATACAGGTGTGGTAAAGGAAGCGCTTAGATGCGAGTCTATGTATGTGAGTAAATTGTGGAGAGGAAGCTATACTGGTGTGGCTTGCCTCCCCCCCCCCCTTCATTGAAACCTACGATATGTGATATTTTTCACAGTATGTTCTATTGTGTACAAGTACTGTACACGACCAATCAGCAAACATCTGTATTCAGGGATATTTAAGAATCCTTTTGATATGAAACACAAATTCTTCAAAAATAGGCGGAATTAATAAATGTTATGTTTCATGTTTGAAATTGGAGTATTTCTTTAAATGTTGTGAAACTTTCCCCCTGAATAGGTATTATATGTAACAAGTGGCCGTGAGATGGCATTTTAAAACCCTTTAGTAAAAACGTAGCTTGTTGTGCTAAGTCAACTGTAGGCCTATGTAGCCCACCCAGTGAAAGGAGATAAGCAGTCTGTGTATGTACCATCAGTACAGTACACTGTACTTAGAGGGATTGTCGTTGTATATAGTCTTAAGTGACTTCCAATAAAAGACGGACAGCATGCTTAGATACAGTAGCCAGCAATCCCTTATCTCATTAATAATGGGAAAAATAAAGTCTACAATTGTCTCCAGCCGATTTTCAGTTAAAAACTGTCGTCTTTGATGTAATATTACTAATTTGTAACAATACAAATAAAAGTTAAATTTAAAAATCCTTGGAAGTATTTTGGATTAAAAACGGCAGAAAACAACAATTTCACCATTTAGTGGTTATTCTTTTATGCTGTCTGCCCTGATATCATTGGCGGAGACTGAAGTTATTTCAGGGACTCACAATGTCAGTCCTTCAATATAACAAAATCCTTTGCCCTGCGTATTTACCTCGATATATTCCGGATGGTTGAGTTGGATTGATTTCACCATACTTCTGAAAAAATCACACAAGTTAAACAACAAAAAAAACGAAACTGAGCACGAAATCACATTTTTTGATATATTTACAAAAATAATTTACAAGACACATAAATATGCATCATTTTTACATATACCCTTTGTAACTTGGGGTTAAAAAACCATGCCAATTAACACATAATTTTTAAAAGAAAAAATTAACGAGAACAATTTTTTCTGGTTTTGGACGAAGCACTCTTATTATTTCTTGATCTTTGACTGATAGAACTCCTGTAGGGTGGAGTTGATCTTCGACCATGCCAATTAACACATAATTTTCAAAAGAAAAAATGAATGAGAAAAAAATTATTCTGGTTTTGGACGAAACACTCTTATTATTTCTTGATCTTTGACTGATAGAACTCTTGTAGGGTGGAGTTGATCTTCGAGGGAGTGAATCCGATAAACTCCAGAATCTCTTCCATTACAGTGAACACGGACTCTAGATAATAAACTATTCAACTACAAAAAAGAGCTAGACAAACTTAAAAGTTTAACTTTTAACAGTACACGAAGTGATATGTTGGAGTATTAAAATTCAATGTTTTAGACTACTCGACACAATTCTGAGATCTGAAGGGTTTGGCGGAATATGAGAGTGGGTACCTGCTCTTGCGAGCTGTGACTCTTGGAAAACTGGTTCAAATATTCCTGAGGTCATGGGGGTACTTGTTAAACCCATGCTTTTGTTCCCCAACAGAAGCGCATAGTCCTCTTCTGATTGCAATGAGGAGCAACTGCTGACCCCATGGGAGTCTGAAACTGTGACATCTTGAATAAAAAAAATCGTACAATATGTACAGAGTGGCCAAAACTTGTTTGAAAAAATCCGTACAAAAATCCGTACATTTTCAGAGGAAATCCGTACAATCCGTACAATTTTCGAAAAAAAATCCGTACAATCCGTACAATTTTTGAAAAAAAAAATCCGTACAATCCGCACATTTTTTTGAACAAATCCGTACATTTAAAAAAAATCCGTACAATTTTCGAAAAAATCCGTACAGTCAGTACACTAGAACTTAGAACTTAGAACTAGAGAAATAGATAACTAGAGAACTAGAGAAATAGAGAGCTAGAGAGCTAGAGAACTAGAGAACTAGAGAACTAGAGAACTAGAGAACTAGAGAACTCGAGAACTCGAGAACTCGAGAACTCGAGAACTCGAGAACTCGAGAACTCGAGAACTCGAGAACTCGAGAACTCGAGAACTCGAGAACTCGAGAATTCGAGAACTAGAGAACTGGAGAACCAGAAAACCAGAGAACAAGAGAGCTAGAAAGCTAGAGAACTAGAGAACTAGAGAACTAGAGAACTAGAGAACTAGAGAACTAGAGAACTAGAGAACTGAAGAACTAGAGAACTAGAGAACTAGAGAACTAGAGAACCAGAGAACCAGAGAACTAGAGAACTAATGAACTAGATAATAGAGAAAAAGAGAACTAGGAACCAGAGAATTTGAAAACCAGAGAACCAGAGAACTAGAGAACTAGAGAACTAGAGAACCAGAGTACCAGAGAACTAGAAAACTAGAGAACTAGAACACTAGAACACTAGAGAACACTTCTGGGATCTCGAAAATTATGAATGAATTTTGATTGTCAATTGAAACGTTAATCAATCTAATATTATTTAGAATGCAGAAAATAAGTTAAACTAACTTCATTTTGACGAGATTTTTTTTTAAATTTTCATGAAAAACTTGCTGAAATGAGTGAAAATTAAAAAAACCAGTGTATTTCCAGGATAAAAATCCGTACAATCCGTACAATTTGAAAAAAAATCCGTACAATCCGTACAATTTTAGGGTTACAAAATAAAAAATTCCGTACAATCCGTGCAATCCGTACATTTTGGCCACCCTGTATATATTAAAGATTTAGGACTAGAGTTGGGTATGAGATATTGTCGATTTTATAACATTCAGAATTTTTAGGCTGTCAGGAGACCCAGTATGATCCGAGAGGTTTAACATATTCTAAAATTGAATTTTCTGAAAGTTTTCCATTATTACACTACTTGACTCTGGCAAAAAGATCTCTCAGCTGAACGATAAATTTTGCTTATGTATTTTGTCATTCAAAATTTTGCACTGTGTTAAAAAAACTGATAAAAAAATTTTAATTCTACGAACGACTTGAATATATTTATGTTAAATCTTCTAAAAACCCAAAATTCTAAAATATCTAAAAAAAGTGATAATCGATACCTAATTAAAGTATTGTTAACATGAAAATTCTGAATCAGGGAGTTTCAAGTGTACAATTAATTAGTTCTTTTTGAAAATCAAGGACGTTACTCATTGTTATGTACTTACTTAAAACACACTTGGAGGTCTACATTGGTCTACATTTTTCAATCACTTTCGATAACCTTATACCTATTGTTTTATGAACCCGACCCCCCCACCTTAGGTTTTTTCTCTAAAATATGTTTAATCTGAACTAAGAAAGGTGGAGTCGAGGTGGGGCGGGGGGGATGTTCAACGATTTTTATGTATAACCTTGCGAGAGGGAGAAGTCTGGAGTATCATTCTCGTTATTTAGCAGCTCCTGAGCTATCTTATACTCCTCTGTAGTCTCAGGTATAGGATACAGAGGCTCAACCATACCACATACAGATCTAAACATTAGCTCCTGAGCTATCTTATATTTCTCAGTAGTCTCAAGTATTGGATCCAGGGGCCAACTAAATAACATTCAGATCTAAACATTAGGAACTATCTCATACTTCTCAGTAGTCTCAAGTATAGGATACAGGGGCTCAACTACACCAAATACAGATCTAAACATTAAGAGCTATCTTATACTACTCAGTAGTCTCAAATATAGGATCCAGGGGCTCAACTACAACACATACAGATCTAAACATTAGAAGCTATCTTATACTACTCAGTAGTCTCAAATATAGGATCCAGAGGCTCTTGAGCTCCTGAGCTATCTTATATTTCTCAATAGTCTCAAGTATAGGATCCAGGGGCTCAACCATACCACATACAGATCTAAACATCAGCTCCTGAGCTATCTTATATTTCTCAGTAGTCTCAAGTATAGGATCCAGAGGCCCAACTACACCACATACAGATCTAAACATTAGGAGCTATCTTATACTACTCAGTAGTCTCAAATATAGAATCCAGGGGCTCAACTACACCACATACAGATCTTAACATTAGGAACTATCTTATACTACTCAGTAGTCTCAAGTTTAGTTTCCAGGGGCTCAACTACACCAAATACAGATCTAAACATTAGGATCTAGCTAATACTACTCAGTAGTCTCAAATATAGGATCCAGGGGCTCAACTACACCACATACAGATCTAAACATTAGGAGCTATCTTATACTACTCAGTAGTCTCAAATTTAGGATCCAGGGGCTCAACTACAACACATACAGATCTAAACATTAGAAGCTATCTTATACTACTCAGTAGTCTCAAATATAGGATCCAGAGGCTCAACTACACCAAATACAGATCTAAACATTAGGAACTATCTTATACTACTCAGTAGTCTCAAGTTTAGGTTCCAGGGGCTCAACTACACCACATACAGATCTAAACATTAGGAGCTATCTTATACTACTCAGTAGTCTCAAATATAGGATTCAGGGGCTCAACTACACCACATACAGATCTAAACATTAGGAGCTATCTTATACTACTCGTAGTCTCAAGTTTAGGATCCAGAGGCCCAACCATACCAAATACAGATCTAAACATTAGGAGCTATCTTATACTACTCAGTAGTCTCAAATATAGGATCCAGGGGCTCAACCACACCACATACAGATCTAAACATTAGGAGCTATCTTATACTACTCAGTAGTCTCAAGTTTAGGTTCCAGGGGCTCAACTACACCACATACAGATCTTAACATTAGGAACTATCTTGTACTACTAAGTAGTCTCAAGTATAGGTTCCAGGGGCTCAACTACACCAAATACAGATCTAAACATTAGGAGCTAACTAATACTGCTAAGTAGTCTCAAGTATAAGATCCAGGGGCTCAACTACACAACATACAGATCTAAACATTAAGAACTATCTTATACTACTAAGTAGTCTCAAACTTAGGATCCAGTCTCAAATATTGAATCCAGGGGCTCAACCACACCACATTCAGATACCTAAATTTTTAATCCTGAGCTATCTTATACTACTCAGTAGTCTCAAGTTTAGGATCGAGGGGCTCAACCATACCACATACAGATCTAAACATAAGCTCCTGAGCTATCTTACATTTCTCAGTAGTCTCAAGTATAGGATCCAGGGGCTCAACCATAAAACATACAGATCTAAACATGAGCTCCTGAGCTATCTTATATTTCTCAATAGTCTCAAGTATAGGATCCAGGGGCTCAACCATACCACATACAGATCTAAACATCAGCTCCTGAACTATCTTACATTTCTCAGTATATTTCTCAGCAGTTCTTTGATTAAAAATATGTGTAAATATAAAACAAATAATAATTTTTTAACGGACAAATGTGAAAAAACAGTGACAGTGATTTGACACTCACATAAAGTTAGAATTAAATCAAGATTTAAAACCATTAAAATAGCTCAAATTACCTTGTTTTCTTCAGCGCACGCTTTGGTTTAAGAGCTTTAACAGCTGGAGATTTAACCTCGTCGAGTATATCAACAACGGACTCCTAGAATATAAACTGGTAATTTTTTGTAGTAATTTATACTTCAGATAGAAAAGATTGAAATAGTTTAAAATTAAATTAAATTAAAATAATTATGGAAATTATCTTTTCTGAATTAATTATTTATCCACATGAAATAGTGATAATAAAATACTTAATAGGACTCTTTGTATCGATTTTTACTACATACAATATTTAGGCTGGCTGAATGTTTTCTTATCATCATTATCATCGCCATGTTGTTTTATTTTCGAACCTCTGGAGAAATAAACTCTTCTAAGCTTATCATTCCCAGCTAGTAAAAAAAAAACTTTTGTGCAAAACTCATTAATTTCCCCATCTCCACAAATGGCTCGCAATAAATATTCAACAGAAGATTCGTCCCTTTTCAACACAGTACATACAAGTTGTCAAAATTGTTATTTTCTTGCCTTAGGACTGAATCTAGCAGATCTATAAGGTTCCTGGGATTTATCCGCTCTTTTGTTCTCGTCTATCATAGATCCAGACTGTTCTCCGGCTTTTTTCCTACCGCCATAGCTCATGAACTCCTTTGTGTCTTCAACTTTGTTGAAATAATCCTTAAAATTAATTCCTTGGAATACACTAAATACATTTCTAGGGGATTGGTGTTAGGATCATAGAAAAAATAATAACTTAGTATAATAATCTTAGCTTGTTCAAACCCATTTTCATTGCAACACTTTTAAATTTCTACTATTTTCAGTATCTGTTTGTAAAACACTGAATTTAGAAACTATTTGATGAAACAATTCCGTTAAAAATTCGATGTTTAAGACAGGAATAAAAAAAAACATTTTATGGTCTTTCATTTAACAATCTTAAAATGATAAAAGGCGCCCAAATCAACAGATCAAATTTACATGTTTGTAACATCCTTATATCTATGAGATATGGCACTTTAATCATTAAATGGACTGAAAGGGTAATTTCAAGTGACTCACCATGCATAAATGAAAATTCCCGATTCACAACGGTACTCACGGTGCCCTTAAAAGATTTATCTTACCAAGTATAATTTTGACATCAAAAATTACGATTTTAAATGCTGATTTTTTCAAACTGAAGTTTCTCTACAAAAGTGACTGGCGCATTTCTACTGCAGGAAAACACTTCAGAATTAAACTCTTAAGCCTAGGTGAACGACACTATTTTGCCCATTGTTGATCTCATAAAGGTTTCAAGGGTACCGTTGTGAATCGGGCATTTTCATCTGTGAATGGAGGGTCACATTCTTACGCGTACATTCTTTTAAATAATATAGCAAAACATACCTGGGTTTCTCTGGCTAGATTGATAATAGCTTGTTCAGAATTTAAACTGAGACTAGGGAACGAATACTGAACAAAATTTCATTTTAAAAGTGCTTCGGATCCTGTTCGGGAACTAATTCTGAACAAAATTTCATTTAAAAAGTGCTTCGGATCCTGTTCGGGAACTAATTCTGAACAAAATTTCATTTTAAAAAATGCTTCGGATCTTTTTCAGACATCTAGTTTGTCAAATTTGATCCTAAAGACATCCTCGTCTATGTTCCTACCGGAGCTCTGAGAACAACTCTTCAAGTAACAAGTAAGTAAAACTGGATTTATTATTTGGTAATCAGGCAGGTTTATCAAATCACAAGTTCAGCTTTAAAACTTAAAAAGCTATTTTGATATGATTATAAGACACATTTTTAAGAACTATTATCGAATTGAAAAAAAAAACCAAAAACCCCTACAAGTTAAATCTTTTTTATTTCATTTCAAAGCTTTGACATTTTTCGTTCTAACTTGAGCTAAAGCTAGCCCTTAGTTTTGCCAATACAAACAAAGCAGCCCGTAAAGTTGTGATCCTACATTTTAGATTGACTCTTCAGATTTACAATGGATCCTTTCAACTCTGTACAAGTTCAAGCAGTGGGAAGGGAATCCTTGTTTTTCTAACTTTACATTTCCGCAGGTTACTTAGGCACGGAAGCCAAAATGGAAAACAATCAATTTGTATAAAAACAACATGAATATATCAGTTACTCTCTATGAGTTACAGGGTGGCCAAAACTTTTTTGAACAAATCCGTACAAAAATCCGTACATTTTCAGAAGAAATCCGTACAATCCGTACAATTTTTGAAAAAAAATCCGTACAATCCGTACTTTTTTTAAACCAATCCGTACATTTTTTTAAAAATCTGTACAATCAGTACAATTTTCGAAAAAAATCCCATTTTTGAAAAAAAACATTAAAATTCAATTTTTCATTCATTGTCCTTTGTGTTCAGTTCATGTAAGAGGGTTTAAACTTCTTCAGCAAGAATCAATCTGTAAAAATTTGGCTTCATACATATATACAAACTATACAAACTAAATACTGGGTACATGATACAGGATACTGGATACAGGATACAGGATACTGGGTACATGATACAGGATACTGGGTACTGGATACTGGATACAGGATACTGGATACTGGATACTGGATACTGGATACTGGATACTGGATACGGGATACTGGGTACATGATACTGGGTACATGATACTGTGTACATGATACTGGGTACATGATACTGGGTACATGATACTGGGTTCATGATACTGGGTACAGGATACTGGAACATCTTCTTGAATGAGCAATCAAATAAGTACTTATGGAACATATTCTCAAATAAACACTTATTGGACATGTCTCGAAAATTATGAATGAATTTTGATTGTCAATTGAAACATTAATCAACCTAATATTATTTAGAATGTATAAAATAAGTTAAACTAACTTCATTTTGACGAGAATTTTTTTTTTTAATTTTCATAAAAAATTTGCTGAAATGAGTGAAAATTTAAAAAAAACGGTGTATTTTCCAGGATAAAAATCCGTACAATCCGTACAATTTGAAAACAAATCCGTACAATCCGTACAATTTTAGGGTTAAGAAAAAAACAATCCGTACAATCCGTACATTTTGGCCACCCTGGAGTTATGTAGGGTTATACTGTGAATGATGTACCACTCTAAAAATGGAGGCTCTATTAAAAACCACTTCTGCAGTTTCATTTACCTTATTTGCTCGAGTTCGCTTGTATGGAACATAGACGTCCATCTTAGGAGATTTTCCAGGATTCTCCGCAACAGTATTTACCCTTGTTGAACAGTTTATGTCTTCAAATCTTTTGTTGTCTCGTTGCTTACAATCCTGGACAAACTCCTGGTAGCTTGGAACCATACTTCTCATCTCGGACTCGTCGGGTCGGATACTGTATTCAGTTAGGACCGGAGACCATTCATCTGGTTCTCCATAGAAGATATCTTGATCCTGTATATGACTAGAAGCAGGCTTGTTGGTTATAGGACGCAAGAAGACTTCTTGGGAAGCTTTGGGGATTGGCTCATTGAAGTAGGAATCTTGTTGGAGCATATGATTTGATGCTTCAGGAAGCATAACGTCGCCCAGGGTTAATTCATAAAGAATCTGGTTCTCCTCAGAACCTTCCGAGAGTCGTTTTCCATCCTTTAATAAGAGCAGATTTTCACGTGGAAATAACATTAACTTTAAGGGATTGTGAGCGAAATTTCAAGTGACTCTCTAGTTCAAGAGGGGCATCCACAATTCACAACAAACCCTTCAAAGCTTTGATTGATAAAGTATGAACTCGATATTGGTGTATTTTTTGAGTGCACGCCTAATTAGTGATCGAAATTCCTAAAATAAAATAAAATTGAATTTTAATGACCTCTAATGACCTCTAATGACCTCTAATGACCTCTAATGACCTCTAATGACCTCTAATGACCTCCACAAATAGAATCACCGTCCCCTTTAATTTATTTTTGTCCCCAAATGTTTAATAAATACACCCAACTTTAAGGTAATTACTGAACAATTAAGAAGTTTTGAGCCCAACCCGTTAATTGAAATAAAAGCCCCTTAATGTACTTTGAAAATGCCCTTAAATAAAAATATTAACCCTCAAAATAAACATTTAAAATATACACAAATTTGCCCATAATGAAAAAGCAAACTAAATTTGCCCCTAAAACAAAGATTTAAGATTTCCTCAAACTAAAAAATTGCCCCCCCAAAAGTAAAATTTACCACTGAAATATAACTTTAAGATTTTTCCCACACAAACTTGCCGAACTGAAAAGAATGCCCATAAATATCAAAATTTACCCCCAAAGTATCCTGAATTGGTAAGGTAGTTTTTTCATGGTTAAGTATGATTTTTTTGGTCCTTTGTCCCCCCCCCCTTACTTAATGTCTAGTTGCGCTTATGGTTTAATGGTACTGGTGTGAATCGTGCATTGCAATCTTTGAATTACTTGTCACTTGAAGTTATACTTGCAGTCCCATCAACAGAAACTAAAATCATAATTTTCTTCAAAAAATGTCGCCCAAAACTTAACTCAACTGCATTAAGAGCGGGGGAAGGCAGGCTGCCATGTGCCACCACTCTTTCCCCTTCCGTACCAATATTAGCTTTTTTCTCTTCCGGCAGCCATGAGTCACCACTATTTCCCCTTCCGTACCACCACATTTGACTCTTCCGGGCAAAAAGTTGGTTAACTGTAAAACAGTTTAGGAATTCAACACACAAAATATTAATCTTAAGTAGAATTGAGACAATGGTTTGAGTTGTGCTTTTTTGCGTGACGCGGCCGGATTTTTTAAAATCACACTTTAAAGGCCCTAAATATACCATTTAAAAAAGTAGTTTTGCCCGGAAGAGTCAAAGGTGGTGGTACGAAAGGGGAAATAGTGGTGGCTCATGGCTACCGGAAGAGAAAAAAAAGCTAATATGTGGTACGGAAGGGGAAATAGTGGTGGCTCATGACCGCCTGCCTTCCCCCGCTCGCATTAAAGCATAAAGATTCGTTAAAAATATACCGCGTATGGAACTCCATCATAATCATACAGGTCATCTTCATTCTCGTAATCCAACACATCCTGGATGACCCACTCATCCATGTCGACATTGGGCGGAATCTCTTCGACATGGGACACGAGGTTCTCCTCGTGAACCGTGATATATGTACCGTAGTCGATCAGGAGCACAGTAAATGAATTGTCAGAGTTGTTATACACATCACTGGCCCGATACCATACCCCATCCTCTTCACACAGGGCATACAAATATTGGCCGTGGGAATCCTGAATAATAAATGATAACTTTGAAGCTTTGAGGATAAAAGTTACCCCCCCCCCCCCATCTTCCCAGCATTCACATTGTCTCTTAAAGCTTTTTGAGAAAATACACAAATAAATAAATGAAAATAATAATAATACATTTCCAAATTGGATTCCCAGACCGCCATCAGAGGTGAAAAAAGTGAAAGGAGATAGGAAGAAGAAAAAACAGTGTTATCCAAGAAAACAAGAAAAGTGAAGAAAATTCAATTCAATGTAAGACAAGCAAGAAAGGAGAAGAATAAAATTTTGCTCGACTTTTCTTCCCCTTTTGTTTCTTGAAATAAAAAGAGATTAACATTTTCAATTTAAATTGAATTGATTCTCGAATTATTTCTCTTCCCCATAAGCTTCCTGAAATTTCAGAATTGATTTTTTTCTCACAAGTGTCCGAGAAAATCAAAAAGAAAGAAAAAAGTAAAAAAAAATTTGTCTTTAAACTTTTTTTAGTAGTAGTACAGAGCGTCCCATATCATATTAGATTATCTCCAATCTTTAACACCTAAATACGCACATTATACTAAAAAAATCAAGCATTTTCTGCAAAAAAAATTCTATTAGCCTTATTAAATTTTTCAAAATGATTCATTCTTATTAAATTTTCTGATTTGTCCCCCAAATCGTAATTTAGACCCATTGACGCGGTCTAATTTGATGTGGGACACCCTGTATGTAGCTTGAAATATGCTTTTACTTCAAATGAATTATTTTCCAGTATAGAGGAGTTTTACTCACAGTATGGCGACTTTTTCTGCAATTCGCAAAGTTGTACCGTAATGTTTTGCAAATATTTTTTAGCGCTTTAAAAAGAAACATATTTACCTTTACTTGTCCTTAACTCTAAAGTTCTAACCCATTAGTCATTCTTTACTCTAAACCTTTCTTTAATCTTTACTCTGAACCATAAGTTATTCTGAACTTACAGCCTTTCCTTATCCTTTACTCTGGACCATAAGTAATTCTTTACTCTAAATCTTCCCTTATTCTTTCGTAATGGATAAGGAAAGGTTTATAGTAAAGAATAACGAATGATAGAAATTTTGGCTTTGCTTCCAAGCGCTCGCTAACTGGCGGGAGAAAAAATACAAAATACTTCAAGTAAGAATATATATCCCTAAACCCCCCTCCTAAAAAAAATAACATGAAGTTTTCAATCAAACTACCTGTAAGAGCTCCATCAGACAGGAATCAGAATTGTTGACACTTTGAAATCCCACTGGGCTGCTTTGTTCTACAGAGCTCATGCCAGTCAGAGGGTTTATTTCATCAATAGAACTGTCATGTTTGCTGTTTTTATGCTGCTCCACAGATTTGAGAAGGTTTGCCTCTAAAAGATGCATCTGCTTCTGCGACTCATTTCCACCGCTTTGTTTTGCAGGATTTACAGGGATTATTGGATTATCAAGATCAATGGGCTCTATGGTATCAGTTGTCTGGACAGTGTTCTCCAAAGCTACTTCAGGATTTATTGTTTTGATAGGATTAATCAGTACTTCTGGTTTGACTTGATTCATAGGATTAATCTGAGCTTCCGGATTGATTTGCTTAAAAGGTTTTTCCTGAACTTCCGAATTTACTGGTTTGCTTTGAATTTTCTGAACTTCAGGATTAACCATCTTGAAAGAATTAAACAATGCTTCATCATTAAATGATTGCTTTTGATTTAATTCTTTTCCAAAACCAATCTTAGCTTCAGGACTTGTAAGCTTAAAAGCATTATTCTGAACCTTTGTAATAACTAGCTTCACTGGGTTAATCTGAACTTTAGGATTAGCAAGCTTTACCGGGTTAATCTGAACTTCAGGATTAACTAGCTTCATTGGGTTAATCTGAAGTTCAGGGTCAACTGGATTCACGGGAATATTCTGAACTTTGGGTTTGGCTAACATGACAGATTTAATCAGAACTTCAGAATTTTCCACTTTTATTGGATTTTTCTTCAACTCTTTTGGATTATTCAGATAAGCTGTGTTCCTAAGATCTCCTGGATTCTTCAGATCTCCTGGATTATTCAGTCCTTCTGAATTCTTCAGATCTCCTGAATTTTTCCGTTCTTCTGAATTCTTCATATCTTCTGAATTCTTCAGATCTTCTGAATTTTTCCGTTCTCCTGAATTCTTCAGATCTTCTAGGTTCTTTAGATCTTCTGAATTCTTCAGATCTCCTTGGGTCTTCAGATCTCCTTGAGTCTTCAGATCTCCTTGAGTCTTCAGATCTCCTTGAGTCTTCAGATCTCCTTGGGTCTTCAGATCTTCTGGGTTCTTCAGATCTTCTGGGTTCTTTAGATCTCCTTGGGTCTTCAGATCTTCAAGGTTCTTTAGATCTTCTGAATTCTTCAGATCAGCTGTGTTCTTCGGATTTCCTTGGGACTTCAGATTTCCTTGGGTCTTCAGATCTCCTTGGGTCTTCAGATCTTCAAGGTTCTTCAGATCTTCTGAATTTTTCAGATATTCTGAATTCTTCAGATCTTCTGAATTCTTCAGATCAGCTGTGTTCTTCAGATCTTCTGGATTCTTTAGATCTCCTGGATTCTTCAGATCTCCTGGATTCTTCGGATCTCCTGAATTCTTCAGATCTCCTGAATTCTTCAGATCTCCTGAATTTTTCCGTTCTCCTGAATTCTTCAGATCTTCTAGGTTCTTTAGATCTTCTGAATTATTCAGATCAGCTGTGTTCTTCAGATCTCCTCGAGTCTTTAGACCTCCTTGGGTCTTCAGATCTTCTGGGTTCTTCAGATCTCCTTGGGTCTTCAGATCTTCAAGGTTCTTTAGATCTTCTGAATTCTTCAGATCAGCTGTGTTCTTCAGATCTCCTTGGGTCTTCAGACCTCCTTGGGTCTTCAGACCTCCTTGGGTCTTCAGATCTCCTAGGTTCTTCAGATCTCCTTGGGTCTTTAGATCTTCAAGGTTCTTTAGATCTTCTGAATTCTTCAGATTAGCTGTGTTCTTCAGATCTCCTTGGGTCTTCAGATCTCCTTGGGTCTTCAGATCTCCTGGGTTCTTCAGATCTCCTGGATTCTTCAGATCTCCTAGGTTTTCCAGATATCCTTCAACAAGCCATTATTTTTTTCTAATAAATTAAACCTAATTGTATCTTATGTCTCATGTCTTACTACTAAGATTTCTCCAGTTAGAAAAATGATCTTATTTGAAAAAAATTAATTGAACTTATTTTCGCTTTTTCAGTAAGATAAGCTTAGAAGGGAAACCAAGAGAAAATCACTAGGATGTTCCAAAAATAAACAAAAAAGAAGATTGAATTTATATCCCCATTTGAAAAGTTTCATGCAATTAAGTATGGTTTTAACTCTAAAATAAAAAACAATAAAGAAGAATGAATTTAGGTCACCATTTAAAACTTCCATACCATGGTATTTTATTGGATATCTAACCTTGGTCGACTTAACACACTCATTTTAAAAACCATATTATGAGGTTAGATTTAATTAGTGGCAAGATCTATATAACTAGGTATAGTTAGCTCAACAACTGTTTTCCCAATAAAGAAGGGGTTTAACTATCACTACACTTCATTTTCGGCTGTTAGTCTCTTATTCCACGAAGTTAATGATAACACTTACTAACCTGTATTAATGGGAAGAGAGATGCAGATTAGACCTTTCAGACATTCTTGACTCTTGTTATCCATGTTTTCAGTTCCCCAGACCAAGAACTTAATAATTACATTTGTTAACATGAAGTAAACTAACGATTCAAGTAGCTAAGAAGGCACATTTAAATACATTTTGAATTTAACTGAAACCCATCAATTTCCAGATTTGTTCAACCTTATTTAGAGGTTTGTGTTTCCAAGGTTTCGTGATTTTCAATAAATGTTAAGGAGGACAAATCTGGAACATATGTAGGGTTTCCAGCGAACAAAAACTTTGGAAAAAAGTGAAATTTCGCAAAAATTTTTGTTCATACTTCAAGCTTTTTCGCGAAAACGATGCGGAATGCGAAAGTTTGCATTTTGTTTTACCAACGAAAAATCCTAGACACATGCCTAATCCTTATCAAGAGAAGTGGCAGATAATTTTTTTTACATTTGAGAAACCTGAATTTATTTTTATAATAAAAATTACCTCTAACCATCCCATTCCCATATCCTTAGAACATGGGGGGGGGGGGGCTTGTAAAATAATGAAACATATATTTCTTATTCAACATAATGATGATTATTTGAATCTAAAACAATACCTTTGGCCCATCTTGTTGGCAGGTGCTGGATTCGAACTCTACTATCCTGCTTACAAACATATAAACATTTTCATCATAATCAATGTTTATATCAATAATACTCAGGACGTTGTTGAAAGTCACGTGAGGTTTCCATACAAATTTAAGGGGGGGGGGGGGGAGTAAATTCAAATGAGAAAGTGAAGAAACAAAAATGTTATATCATTTTTAATGTTTTGTTGTCAAGGGAAGATGTTGAATGGAATTGAACTTCTTTGCGGACAAATACCAGTATTTCTTTCGGATTTTTAGCTGGGAGGGTCAGTTCATTTGATTTAATTGAAGACGGTCCCTCAAAGGATATTAAAACTAAATATATTTATATTTCCTGTTGGATGAAGTTTTCATGAATACAGAACCCTCGGTGCACTTTTCAACAACTTTAAAGGCTTCCTCTCCCTAGAAAATACACTTTTATGTTTTAAATTTCACATTTTTAAATATTAAGTTCATATGAACCTCTCCATTCAATACTAACTGATCTCCCTTTGCCAGAAATGAATTTTAAAATACAAAATTTTTAAAAAATATTTTTACTGAAAAAAGAAATTATGAAATCAAATAAGTCACATCTAATAAAAGATACCCATTCTCATACATTGATAGTGGGATCATCTGCTAGCAGTAGGGCAATAGGATCAATTTCCTCCAAACCAGAGCAACAGATGCATTTATTGTATACACAGGTCACATCAGTCAACTTAACAATATAACAGGTTCATTTCAGAAAATAATCTTAACATATCAATTTAAAAAAGAAAAATATTAATCAAGCCTTAAGAGGTCGGACATCACATGCATAGCCCAAAGTAATTTAACTAGAAATGGCTAGTTGAACTACTCGGTACGTATCTTCTACAATTTGTCCAACAAACCATGGAAATGGATAGTCGACTCTAGCCGTCATGGATCTTTGAACTAATTTGCGGCATTAATTTGTAAATCCAATTTTGAAGAATTAATTCTAATTTATGTTAAAGCATTTTCAAATGTTGCATGTTTTTAACTTTCAAAATTGCCGGAGATCTGAAAACTTTCCTTCAGATTATAACAATTTTGGTTATTTAATAAATTTAAATCAGAACTCTACAATATTCGAATATTCAAACCTGTTCAAAGATGTGATGATCTAGATTTTTGACCAGCTGTCCGTTCAATACAATAGGTAGACTTCGGTAGGGAACTGAAACTGGCAACAGGTTGGATTCTAAACACATAATGTACAAAACATTTTTTTTTCAAATTTAGATAAATACAAGGCCAAATAAACATAAGAGTGAGACAACTTGAAATTTAGCTTTGGTTTCTGAAAGCTAATTAATTACAATGGAAAATGGAGTAAGAAATTTTCATACATTGAAGTCATAAAGCAGCAGTATGTACAATATTAAAATTGACGTTGCAACTTTTTTTCTCTGATCCATTATGCTGAATGCCTCCATTTTTGCATACTTAATCGGTATATTTCCGTCTTTGTAATTTCCGCCAATTCTCTTCCTGTCTATCACTATCAATTTTTAAACTGTCTTTAGGTGTTATCGATATTATACCAATTGCCAAGGATTTTTCATCTCACTCAAGTATAACTTTGTATTCATTACCTGTATTTGAAGTAATGATAAGCTTGTTCTTTTGGCAAGTAAGCAAACTCATCTTCTTGTGATAAACATGTATCTCCGCTTCCTTAACACATTTCTCCTCATTGGACAGGAACTCCTAAATTCAATAAGTATTATTTTTTACTTTAAAAATTTATTAATATCAATCAATTTATTTGTTTTTGTTTTGATGTCCTTAAATTAGAAGTAATCCTGGAATCATCAAAAGTTCCAACTAAGAAATTTTGAACAGTAGCAAATTCTCCAAAAAAGATTGCAGGAAAATATCGTTTACCATTCACCTGTAACTCAAGCTCTGATGCTAAAGAGGAACATGAAGTTTTACATTCGACATTCATATCAGTCGTCTGATAAGAAACAGCTATGCCATCAACAGGCTGAAGACCCTTTTCACCGTCCACTTCAGCCTGAAAAGGCTGAATGATAGGCTTTTCATGCCCGTCCAAATCAGATTGAGGACACTGTGGAGTAGATTCTTGTTCTAATACAATATCAGCTTCAATGTCCTGAACACCAGACTTCTGATCTAATTGAACTTGAGAATCTTGTTGCTGAATACTTTCCAGTTGCAGAATAGAATCTTCCTGATTATCTTTGTCTTCATGCTTCATGCTTAGATCCTGGTCTCCTTTCATCTCAGCTTGACAAGGAACAGGTTTCTGATTTTTTTTCACCAAGGAATCAGTTTTCACTAAATTAGGTTGTTGGGCTCTTGGAACTGTAGCTACTTTATCTACAGAAATTGGAGCAGCTTGAGCTTTCGCTTCAAGATTCAGGGAGCTGAAGTCCTGAACTGCGGACTTAATGCCATGATTCTGATCTAATCCAGATTTAATCCTCGGGCGGTCTTTTCTGGTTTCATTGACTTGATGCTTCTCAACAGATCTGGCTTCATCCTTTTGATCCTTTGGAGGGATATCATCTTGCGGCATGGAACCTTTCTTCTTACTCTTATTTTTCTTATTTTTCTTAGCTTCTGTTGGGAGACTTAAATATTAAAAAATCAAAAAGAAAACTTTCACAATCTTCATTTAAAGTGGTCTAATGACATTTATCATGCTACAAAACCAAAATTTAAAAGATTACCTGTAGCTACATTCCAGGCTAAAGCAGGCTCTGTTTACAGCTTTGTTGTTACTGCCACAGTCAGGACAATTCCAAAAGGCAGAAGTTGGTAAACTAAAACACAAAGTAGGATAAAAGAGGAATAATTTCAGTTGTTTGGGATGCCTAAGTGAGCTTCATGTTTCAAGTTCAGCACCAAAAAAAAAACAAGCAAGCTAGTTTAATAAAGATTTACCTTGAAGTTTGAGGCTGAGTGGATACAGGATCATTGTTTCTGGTTGCCACGTTCTTCCTAGAAGGTGGTGTAGTTTTAGGTTCTAGGTTTCTAGGAGGAACTCCTGATCTTGAATATGTTGGAGCATACCTCATGTTTGTGTACTTGGGATGCTGTGAATAGTGACCATAAGGTTCACGAGGTTTATAATAAGACCTCAACTGTCGATCTTTGTCCCTTTCTAGTTCAGAGCTAGGGTTCTGGGTACTGTTCCTAACAGGTACAGACCTTACTGCAGCAGCATTTGCAGCAGATACTTTACCGTCTTCATTCATTTTTCTGAAGCACAAACAAATAGAATAACAAAATAATTTACGAATTACCAAAAGACATTCTTAATAAATATCAATGAAATGCAGAAAATTTTAAAACAAAGATTGTACTGGATCTTTTTCAATATACAAATTAAACTTATTGCTATTATATTTACAGCAGAGATATGCTTGACTATTAAAATCCACGGTTTGGTTTGCTGGTCCAAGAATATAAACGAACTAGTGGAGGTCTCCCAGTATATCTTTCAATGTTTTCTGGCTTCCTTCATCAATTATCTAAAATTAAATACCTCAAAATCTGTACTAATTGACTTATATGATCCACTGGATCTTTTTCAACATGCACATTCTTACGCGGTCTGAGCGTTAAAGAATGAAAATTCTGCCTCTACAGTGTAAGAATAAGCATTCTTAAACGCTAGGAAGCGAACAATATTAAAATTGTTCCTCCTGAACCGTGTAATAATGGGAATTCTTACACGATAGGTTTACTACTATGAAACCGAACAGATAAGAGATAGGTTTGCTAATATGAAACCGAACAGCTATGATATAATATGAGATGCTAACTAAAGTAGGGTTTGTTGTGTACAAAACGAGTACATGACATAGACTAATTAACAAACATCTATCAGAAGGTATAATTAAGGCTCTATAAAATCAAGGTACTACAATGCGGACAAATAAATTTGGAAGACAAAATGAGACACATAAACTAATGTCCTTTTCTTATTTGCATTCCAACTACAAACTTTAAGTGTTAAATAAAAAACTTTTTAGGTTTACCTCTATTTGAACAGGCTTGACTGGCCAAAAGTCATTTTCAAACTTAGTGCTGAACACAGCTCTGATCTCCTGCAGAGATTGAAACCTTCCAACCTCGTCCGGAGTCAAGTAACCTAAAAAACATGAAAAATCAGTTTTGAATATCTTATACTGGATTGTCATGTAATTTTTATCTAACAAAAGTCAAGACAGCTTAATTGTGGCCCAAACTTTTTGTGACAAATTACAAAACCCAGATAGTTTTTATGACTGTTCAAAATTAAAAAAGAAAACCTGGAGCTGAAAACTTTAGAATGAGATATCCTTACTCCCGGTTACTTAATCTGTGTTTTCATTTGTCACACTTTTTATTTTCTTCTAAAACCACTGTTTCTTGGATATAAACCGGTTTTTTTAAATTAGAGAGTCTCTCCCGTTTCTGCATTTAATCTTAATCTTAATTTTTTACAAGATTAGGTTAGTCTCGAAAAAGAGAGGATCATGCATTAATCTTGATATCCACCATTCTAAAGTTTTCAGCTCTGGAAAATTGTTTGCTTCAAAGATTTTTTACTTTTTAGTTTTACAGGCATACATTTAAAAAATAAGGGTTCAAAAACAACATTGGAAATTTAAATTAGATTGGGGCGCTAAGCACTCCGGACGTGAAAAATCAGGTGTCTATTGGCTTGCCACTTTGTTTGTATCCAATAAACATAAACTCGGCTTAACCAAAAGGTCATAACTTTTTTGTGTTGACTCCATAAATCAAAAAAGTAAATTTAAAACTTTTGAAAATCCCGTCATGAAAAAGAAAATTAAACCAAATTATTTTTGATATATTCAAAAATGTACTGCAGGAAATCAGCTACAAAAAGCTAAAATTAAAATTTAACTTCAAAAATGCTGATCTTCTTAATTGCAACATGGATTTTCTTTCCAAATTTTTTTTTTTGGCAGAATCAATTTCTTTAGGAAAAGTATTTTCTAACTAAGAGGAGAGTACTAACTTAATGAAAGAAATTATATTAACAAATTTTTAAACAAATTTGTTATCATAATTAAGTTCAATTTAGATAAAAAAAATTACCTTTGGATTTCAAACGTATGCAGCCGCAGATAGCTTGGCCTGGAAGTTTAAGAAACTCGCTCTAAGAAGTCAATTACATCTTGAGAGTGTAATAAAAAATTCATTAGTAAGCTATGCTTTGTGCTAAGTAATGTGGGTTCGTTTTTTTGCTTATATTTTCTTACACGGTCTAAATTTGTCAATATGTAAGAAAAGCAATTGTTTTTGTTTTTTAATTTCTTTTTAAATTTTTACCACGAGAAAAAATGTCTGCAAAAAAAGAAACCAAAAACGAAGATGTTTTAGAGTCGTTTTTCTATCTTTTAAACGATTTCAATAAAAGCAAACAACGTAGAACTCTATGACGTGTTCCTTGAGGTAGTATAGCTGACTCAATTCTACCTGCTCTTCATTCCCATAGTCTACGAAGAAGACCTAAATAATAGTCATGATAATTGTCTTCAATCGGTGTCATATAAATAGGGCTAATTGATCGTTTGAACTAACGTTTATTTTAACTACTTTTAACAAAACTTAAACATTCAGAATAATTTTTTTTTCAATTTGACACATTTATCCGATTTTTTAAAATTAATTAAATCAAATTAAAATATTTTACAAAAATTCATGCAATGTTTAAAAAGGATTCTGTGGTTTAAAATGTTTCAGTTTCAGGTAGAAAATTAACGATAGCTCTATGCTTGAATTGAAATTTGGACACCTTATTTTTGTAGGTGACATGTGACTTAAACTGACAATATTATTATCTTAAGATCAATTCAAACCCAGGACCTTTTCAATAAGTTAACCCCCTACCCCCAATCGTTTGCTTTGCGATAACTCAAAAAGTATTTTAGCTAGGAAGCCGAATTTACTAAATAATCTTACTTTCCTAACTTACACATGTCCATCACTTAAGGCTAAAAGCTGGGCTTATATGCCTTATTTATCCTATACCAGACTTAATCTATATCCAGACCTACTTCCAGTCACTGGATTTCAACATTTTGTAGCTCTTTGGAAAGCCGTTAACAATAGCAACCAAATTGCACAATTTTTGCAATAAAATTTTGCAAAAATTTTTGCACAGACACAGTTAAAGGGAATTTGAACATTTTTTGTTTTCTTCAATACACATAAAGGTTTTAAAAATTTTGCAAATGTTTTTGCACATTTAAATTCGCTGGGTCAAGGGCTTTTAAAAAATATGATATTTGTTGCAATTTGCGCATTTTTTGCTTAAATATTGGACTTTGCAATAAATATGTGAATTTTTGCAAATTTTCCATTTGTTTGCAGATTATTGAAGTAGAGTCTAAGGGCTTTTCAAAAAACGTATCAAATGTTATAGATTTGTATCACAATAAAAAATAGAGGAGGGGGGGGGGGGGGTCAGGGGAACCAGACATCAGGATAAATAAGGTTAAGTCAAGGATAATCTATCTTCTATATATCAAGTTGTTATCTCTGTTTGTCTGTCTGTCTGTTAGTTTTTCCGATCAGAACTAAGTAACCCCTTCTTAATATGCTTCAAATTTGGATCGAGGAACCCGGAAGACCCACGGAAATGTTCTTAGCTTAGTTTTGAGTTTGTCGACTTTAAGTGCGGGTAAACGGTGGGAGTAACTTTTAGTAACCTAGGCAGTGCTGGGTTCCCAAGCTAGTCTATATATATGAACTTGTAATCTTTATTTGTCTTTCCGTTTGTTTGTCCGATCATAACTAGAACCCCTTAACCAATTTGCCTCAAATATTGATTGGGGAACTCGGAAGAACTTTTTGAGATTCTAAGTTGAGTGGGTTGACTTTTATCGGGAGTATTAGCTAAATCATTATAATCTACGACCAAGTGGGGGTTAGCAGCAGGAATAACGCTGCGTTATCAAGCTAGTGAAATATGAAAACCTTGATGAGCGCTCCCATTTTCTTCTTAACCATAGCTCTACAAATAATGAAATATTTAGTTAATTGACTTTTCAGTGATTCATTATAAACCAGAAAAAAAATCAAGTCAGGGTTCCAGGTTTTAGTGAAAAGCTTGTTGTTAAAAATTAATACCATAATAAAACACAAGAAATCTACTTAGTATGTGAAGTTCTATTAATTATTTCATTAAAAAAGCTAAATTTTCCCTGTAGTAATCTGAAGCACCATATGGTGCTGCAATAATGTCACCACTCTCAATATCGTCCATATGCTCTATACTGTATTGTTCCCTGCAAACATGGAAAATTTATGTCTATTAAAAAAAACTGTTAGTACTGTTATGTATCAACCATGAAATGTCTTTCAGTTTAACCAACCAACCAACCAACCAACCAACCAACCAACCAACCAACCAACCAACCAACTTTAAAGAGAAAATGTTCACATTTAACATAAAAGATGGGCGCGAAGCGCCTCAAAAACCTAGTGTTCTAAAAGACATCGAGGGAAATAAAGAAAAAGAAAAAATAAACTAGTTTAAAATCATTTCGTTAATAAGGTAAAAATCTAGGCTGTGTAAATAGCAAGTGTTTGCAATCATGTTTGTCCCCTCTCTGTGCTGGAGAGTGGCTGTCCATGCCCAAATCTTCAGCAATCTCTATGACTCGTCCAAAACTACAGTTTTCTTGCTATGTTTCTTTAATCCCATATTTTCTTTGCTGGAAACCCTGCTTCCAACTAGAATTTTAAAATTTCAAAATTCTAGTTGCAAACAGGGTTTCCAGAAAAAGAAAATATGGGATTAAAGAAACATAGTAAGAATTAAAGAAACATAGTAAGAAAACTGTAGTTTTGGACGAGTCATCAGTCCCACCCCCCCTTTCCCTTCAAAAAGAATTACCTGGAGAAACTAGATGTGTTGTAGAACATTTTTATCTCAACCATCATATCGTCTGAACAGTATTGCGCTGATGGAACTATGCAATGTATTTAAGGACCCCTTTAGAAGATATTTAAGGGGTTAAGTTAATCGCATTTTTTTTCCAAACAAACAAACTTTATTATCGACACAATTGTTAAACTCATATTTCTTTCGTTACTTTATTTTACTTATGGTTATTGGGGGTTCTCACGTGACTGTGCAATGCTGGAAGTAATAAATGAGAGTTTAAAAAGGAATAAGTACTTTTACTTTCCAGCGCATTCAACCTTTGTAACTTAGTAATGTCTTCAGATTAAAAAGGATTAAGGTTTAGGGCGGAGCACTCCACCCCTAGCCCCTTCATGTACACCATTTTATCAATAAGTATACGTGCAAAGTGTGGATGTCATTTTCTAAGCTTTTTTTCACGGAAATATTATGAAGAAGTTTAAAGTTGAGAATAATTATACTACTTAGAACACTTGGGTGTGTTTTATCCAAATCATATCAAAATAACTTAACTTAACAGTCTTAGCACCTTATTTTTCAGTTAAATTGCTTAGACATCGACTGATGCACTTCAATGAACATACTTAATTCAGTTAAGATCAATAGGAATAAACTTACATTCACGCATTAATAAAAGGGCTTGTATTTTATTTGATATGATCATGATCTAAAATTTTAACATCACTAGAATATAAGGTAAAATGTTTCTTTTCCAACTTAAACTTCACAGTCAGCATTTATATGGTCTGTGGAGATTCTTTTTACCTAAAGCTCCTGTATGCTTCGCGTCTTTCAGCTGAAACCAAACTTTCTTCGGATCTACTATGTCCTTAACAGTATAAAATTTAATAAGATCCAATATGTATGTGCAAAATAGTAGGTATATACCTGAACCAGAATGGGAGCAGTTCCTAAGTTCTTTACCGCTTCAGAAAAAAAAATCAAGTTATAAAATGAACTTTCGAAAATGCAAAAAAAAAAGCGCAAGAACGATTCAGGAAACTTATAAATTATTAAATTAATTGATTAAATTTTTACAGTAAAGAAATTTGATGTGCGTAGTTATGTATTTTTTTCCTGGTGGAACAGTTAAGACTGGAATCCTTCTTTGATCTCCTGAACTACCAGGGGTAAAATTAAGTGTTCACTAGCCAAGGCTAAATTCTTGATAAAGGAAACATGAAATTTCCTGATAACCATATCAGGATTATCAATTTTTGATTTTCACCCCCATGTCAGCGGATAAAAAACTATACATAAATTTGTCATGTTGAATTGATAATGAAATAAAAACTATGACTAAAAAGTACATAGACTCAAGAATAAAAAAACAATTTTAAACAAGAGAATAAGTTTGGGAAACCTTAGATATTAAATTATAATTAATTTATTCCTTTAAAAATTTTCCTTCAACTTCTACACCCTTGCCTGCACATTTGCTGGAAGAATAGTATAGTTCCTGATGTTTAATCCCCGGCTCAACTTCATATGCCAAAGAACACTTAATAGAATTAACATGGCAAAATGCTATTTATAATTTAAATTTTATCAAAATAATAGTATTCTCTGTATTCCATGACCTGACTTGAAAGATATTTTACATACATTAAGCGTTTTAAATCCTTTTCATCCCAAAGACAGATTGTGTTTTCCATTGACATACATTATTAAAACTATTTATTAAATATAAAATTGTTACCTGGGAGTTAATCTTGTCGATAAAATGAAAAGCCTTTTTGGTGGGAACAAGATCTAATCACAAAATATTCAATAACAATCAAGATATTCTAGTAAAGTAAAATAATTAGGTTTTCATTGTAAATTTATTTGACCGTAACGAGGAGCAGGCCTAGTTCTAAATGGCACCCTTAAACCTTGATTTTATCAATATGTGAAAGATTTTGCCGTTTTCAAGATTAAAATTCTTGTACTTGGTTCGTTGCTTCTGCAGCAGAAATACACAGTCACTATTGTGAGGAAAATAATCAGATTTTGAATTTTTAATTTGAACTTGTTACAAAGTTTTTAAGGGTACTGTTTTAAATCGAACATGCCTCTCAACATAAAAAAAATAGGGCCACTTGAAATAACTCTAAGACTAGAGTTCCTTTAAGTTAAGTTTTCTTTGCTGAAAACCGTGCATGCGTGTAATTCAAAGATTATTACAAATTTTCTTTCATTTTAATCAGTTTTGCTGAAATTTAATTGACCCTTCAAACTCAGTAAGTTTATAACAATTTCTCATCAGTCAACATCTTAAGCAAATGTGTTTTTTTGTTTGTTTTTTTAATCTGACTCTGTGGATCAGCATAATTTAGCAAATAAATATATTTGTGAAAATTCATTTTTACGTAAGTTAAGATAAAAATTTTTTAATTATATTATTTTTATACCTTTCGGGTAACTGATGGTTTACCTGTTGAGATATGAGACATAATCTTTGTTATATATCCTAAAATATGAATCTTTAGTCATATGAATTAATTAAATAATTAATATAATTATTAGTACATATGAACTTAAAATACCTTGAGTATTCAGTGCTTCTATGCAGAAATGAACAGGAACACCAAACTGAGCCAAGTTTATTTTTCTATACTGATCCGCAAACATATTTTCCTTTAAAATTATCTTATTACATTGTGAAGCAATGGTTACTATAGAAGCTACAGAACTGAGTTGGCAATTTTTTTACGATTGAATTGAGCTTTAAATCAATTCAGTGCCTCAAGGAATGAAGCAATGGTTACTATAGATAAAGCTACAGAACTGATTTGGCAATTTTTTTATGTTTGAATTGAATTTTAAATTAATTCAGTGCCTCAGGGAATAATGCAATTGGTTACTATAGATAAAGCTACAGAACTGAGTTGGCAATTTTTTTTTATGTTTGAATTGAATTTTAAATTAATTCAGTGCCACAAGGATCGTAACAAGAAGAAAGGAGTATTAATTAATAAGAAGAAAGGAAAATCTAAATATCACCAAATATAACCTATCATTTTCAAGTTAAGTTATTTATAATATTTAATTCTATGACATAAAATGTGTAAAGCACCCAACCTGTATTCCATTTGAATGAACAGCAAACGTTTTCATGCACCGAGTAAAGGTTAAAAGATCTAATTCATTATTTTCTGACATCCTGAATAGGTTAAGGTCAAAACTTGTAAATGTTTCTTCTATAGGAAACATCTCAAATACATAGCAATTTGGGAAATTTCCGAAATTCCTAGACATTTGGGGAATTCCTTTTAATCTCCTAAAATATAATTGCGGAAAGTTTAATAATTAAAATAACAGAACATCAGAATTTCAAACCGGATACTGATAAAAAATGTAACGTCTGTAACGGTCATACCCCCCAAAAAAAACTAAGTTTTAACCAATGACCAAACTTATAGAATTCAATTAGAATTTTATGGACAGCACGGCTCAATCAGAGTTATAAATCAATATCATGTAGAAATAGCAATATATCTATGGAAAATATTTGTGATTATGAGGATAATATTTTCCAATTTAGATTAATTAATCTTGGAAAATATTTCACTTCAAAGATTTGTGAAAATTACCTAAAAAGTGATTAAAGTGGGTAACTTCGATAAAGTCTTAATTTTTACATCTAAGAATTGAAATGGTATTCATAACTGCCACAATGAACCACTATGGTAGAAGAGGAGGTCAATACTTAAATTCGGGGTTAATCACAATTACACTGAATCAAGAATAATTTGACAGGGTCACTTATAAATTTTTTTAAAAACTAGAGAAAATGATGTTCCCTTTAACAACCTATATTCCTGGTAGTAAAAACTACTGTAGGTATTTGAATGCTTGGATGAGAACCCGGAAATAATGAAAAAATAAGATCAACTGAAGAAACTCAACTTAAACTCGATAGAGAACAAGAGAACCGAACCAGAGAACCAGAGAACTAGAGAAAACTTAAAACTAGAGAACTAGAGAACCAGAGAACTAGAAAACTAGGGAACTAGAAAACTAGAGGACTAGAGAACAAGAGAACAAGAGAAATAGAGAACTAGAGAACTAGATAATAGAGGATAAGAGAACTAGAGAACCAGAGAACCAGAGAACAAGAGAACAAGAGAACCAGAGAACTAGAGAACCAGAAGACTAGAGGAACCAGAGAACCAGAGAACTAGAGAACTAGAGAACTAGAGAACTAGAGAACTAGAGAACTAGAGAACTATAGAACCAAAGAACTAGAGAACTAGATAATAGAGAACTAGAGAACTAGAGAACCAGAGAACCAGAGAACCAGAAAACTAGAGAAAACTTAAAACTAGAGAACTAGAGAACCAGAGAACTAGAAAACTAGGGAACTAGAAAACTAGGGAACTAGAAAACTAGAGGACTAGAGAACTAGATAATAGAGAACAAGAGAACAAGAGAAATAGAGAACTAGAGAACTAGATAATAGAGGATAAGAGAACTAGAGAACTAGAGAACCAGAGAACCAGAGAACAAGAGAACCAGAGAACAAGAGAACCAGAGTACCAGAGATCTAGAGAACAAGAGAACCAGAGAACTAGAGAACTAGAAAACTAGAGGAACCAGAGAACCAGAGAACTATAGAACTAATGAACTAGATAATAGAGAACTAGAGAACTAGATAATAGAGAACTAGAGAACTAGAGAACTAGAGAACTAGAGAACTAGAGAACTAGAGAACCAAAGAACTAGAGAACTAGATAATAGAGAACTAGATAATAAAGAACTAGAGAACCAGAGAATCAGAGAACCAGAGAACCAGAGAACCAGAGAACCAGAGAACTAGAGAACTAAAGAGCGTTGATTCTAATTTTAAAACTGTTTAAATCGGTGAGGCCGTTTAACAACCAAACAATTAAGTTATAATTAGAAAGAGTGGAGTGTAGATTTAGGATCTAATATAATTAAAAATAGCGTGGTACAGGGGTTGCACACTCAATTAAAAGAAAGTTATTATTAAACTAAAAATGAAAAGATTTACAGACAAACGGAAGAAACCTGAGAGGATGTTCTCAGATCTGATAAAGAGACAGATAGAAAAATAGATGAACAGACAGACAGATAGATAGACAGAGAAACAGATAGACAAATTCACATATAGATAAACAGAGAGACAGATAAGATATATAAACAGCTAGATAAAAAGATAGATAGACTGACATGCAGATAGATATACAGATGGATAGACAGATAGCTAGACATATAGCTAATCATATAGCTAGACATATAGCTAGACAGATAGACACATAGCTAGACAGATAGCTAGACAGTTAGCTAGACAGATAGCTAGATAGATAGACAGATAGACAGATAGATAAACATATTCTCAAATGAATACTTCTGGAACATATTCTCAAATGAACACTTCTGGGATCTCGAAAATTATGAATGAATTTTGATTGTCAATTGAAACATTAATCAATCTAATATTATTTAGAATGCAGAAAATAAGTTAAACTAACTTCATTTTGACGAGATTTTTTTTTTGAAATTTTCATGAGAAATTTGCTGAAATGAGTGAAAATTTAAAAAACGGGAAAAAAACCGGTATATTTCCAGGATAAAAATCCGTACAATCCGTACAATTTGAAAAAAAATCCGTACAATCCGTACAATTTTAGGGTTAAAAGATAAAAAATCCGTACAATCCGTACATTTTGGCCACCCTGAATTGGTTAAAACTAAATATTCCAGGTTTGGAAATGGTTAAAACTAAATGTATTAGGTTCAGAAATGGTTTTAACTGAATATTCTAAGTTGGAAAGTGGTTTAAACGCAATACTTTACTTTGGGAAGTGGTTTCTCATTAAAGTAAATGTTCTAGGTTGGGAAGTGGTTCAAACTGAATATTCTAGGATAGAAAGTGAAAGTAAATGTTCTAGGTTGGGAAGTGGTTTAAACTAAATGTTCTTGGTTGGGAAGTGGTTCAAACTGAATATTCTAGGATGGGAAGTGAAAGTAAATGTTCTAGGTTGGGAAGTGGTTTAAACTAAATGCTCTTGGTTGGGAAGTGGTTCAAACTAAATGTTCTTGGTTGGAAAGTGGTTTAAACTGAATATTCTAGGATGGGAAGTGGTTTAATCACAAAAATTATCTTTTGGAAATGGTTTTAACTAAATGTTCTAGGTAGGAAGAGAACTCAAGAAACTGAGTGTTCTAGATTAACCAATTAATACCGATCAGCCCCCCTGTCGAAAGAATTACATGAATTTTTTAGAAATTTATGCTTTCATAATTTTTTGCTAAATGCTAAATGCATAGCAAAAAACTTTTTTTCGCGTCTTTATCGACGCATTCGGAATAACCTATTATGGCACATGTCTATACAGTGCACAGTGTACAGCCTAGATTGTACAAATTATTCATTGTACAATGTAAAAAGAAGTGTACGGTGTGCAGTTTGAAATGTGCAATGTTAAGAGTTAGGTGTACAGTTTGCATTATTTAGCAAGTGAAGTGTACAGTATACAATACATATTGCAGTGTTTAGCGTGTGCAATGCAGAATACAGTGTTATAAATTTGACGTACTCAGTTTGCCGTTTGAAGTTTGGCAGTGTTGCAGTATGCAGTTTGGAAGGTGCAGTGTACAGTGTGCAGTATGCAGTGTGCCGTGTGCCGTGATCAATGTACAGTTTACAGTGTAAAGTGTGCAGCATTCAGTGTACACTGCATTTTGCAATGTTAAATGTTTAGTGTGCAGTGTAAAATGTTTAGTGTGCAGTGTACAGTGTAAAGTGTGCAGCAATCAATTTGCAGTGTACACTGCAGTGTGCAGTGTGCACTGCATTGTAGTGTTTTGTGCAGCATTCAGTGTACAGTTTACAGTGCACAATGTTCAGTGAACAGTGTGCAGTGTACAATGTACAGTTTGAAGTGTGCGGCATACAGTGTGAAGTGTGCAGCATACAGTATACACTGTGAAGTTTGCAGCATACAGTGTAAAGTGTGCAGCATGCAGTGTATTTTGTGAAGTGTGTAGCATACAGTATAAAGTGTAAATTGTACCGTGTACAATGTGTACTGTGCAGTACATAATGTAACGTTTGCAGTGTTCTGGGCGCAGAGTCTTATATGTAAAAAAGTAAGATTTTATTATATTTTTAGCTTACCACCCAATGTAACTTTTAATGTAATTTTTTACGAATTTTATTGAGATATTTTCCAGAAGGAACAGTTAGGATATTAATCTTAATTATTCTGAGACCTGGAAAGTCTGCAGAATGATGCTTGTGGTCAAAACGATTGAAACCAATTTTTTATTGCAACTGACATGACCCTGTTGAGGTAAGATTGCTCATTGCCAAATATTCTTTGTTAAGGACTATGGAACATCGTTGATTGGAAACCCCGCTAACACATGTTATCCTGCTGGCTTTATATTGTTAAGCTCAATCTTTGTTACATAATTTGAGAATGTTAACCAGAGCAGACGATATTCATACAATGAGATTAGACATTATTTACAGAGTTATTTGGCCAATAAATCCAGCAAGAAGGCATCTTTTATCATTATTTTATTTTATATTTAATATTCTATGTTAAAAATAATAAAGGATCGTAATTAGAGTTTTAAATCCCCCCGTATTTCTCTCTGTTTCCAGATAAAACAAAGGAAATCCTGGATCACCGTACATTCGGGACAAGAGAAACGGACGACATGCCAAGCTCAGCCGAATCTTTAAGGTTCATAGATCAACAGTCAAGATTAAAAAGTTTTAAAAATCTGCCAATTTACGGTAAATAGAACGCAAAAAGGGCTGGTTGAAAACTTCAGTTTAAAGCTTAAATTGTTAGCAGACTGGCAACATGAAGCGCTCTACGAGTCCAGTATAAACCAAAAATCGAACAATTATAAAGATATTATATTGAAAAAGAAAGAGAAAAAAATGCCTAATCGTGACTCACCTGTTAAGTGTTAGAAAACCGGTCTGCTGGAAGATACAAGAACTATTTACATGAAGAAATATAATAAATATTTCACAGATGATAAACCCCTTCCTTACATTACAATATTATTTCTGAAAAAATATCCATCAGACGATTTGGATTAAATTTACTAAATATTAGTTTAAGTCACTAGATCCTGCGTAGTATAGTGCGTAGCTGGGGTATACAATACATATTAGCAAACAGTGCAGGTTCTTGATTTTCTAGGTGACCTGAACAAATGCATGATAGATAAATCTATATAGAAATTAGAAAGGATTATTATACTAAAGTTGAAGTCATGTCCTGTGGTGATAATTAACCAGGGAGTAAGGAATAGAAGGGAGATATAACTGACGCGGTTCGCCCTACCATATGATTATACATGCTTTGCAGACGGGTACTCCATTTGAATAAGAAATATTTGTCCGATGTACAATTACCGGGTAAACAATAACCTTTTCTGAATATTTCATGTACAAATGAAGTACCCGTCTGCAAAGCATGTTTAATCTTATGGTAGAGCGAACCGGGTCAGTTATATCTCCCTTCTATTCCTTACTCCCTGTAATTAACGTATCATCCATTTTGAAATCTTACTCAAATCTCGTTTGTTAATCGTAAACAATTTTCCCCAACACAGAAAGCACCTAATTTGTGTTTTTATGTTCATGGTTGGCTCATATACTGGGGGTTGCAAGTTCTTTAAACACGTGATCGGAAACGATCGTAAGAATAACTAAAATCTAGGAAACCGCAACTTGAGCAAAAATTAAGAATTTGTCGTCGTAAAAATCGAGATAAAGCGTTGTAGAATGTAGATTAGCGCTATTTCAAACAAAATTTTTAACCTCGTTAGACGCTAAATATAGAGAATAGAGCTTTCTGAATAGAGAATTAAAATGATTCCGACCTTCAAGAAAAATTTGGGTTTCTTTAAATTAAGAAATTGCTTACGGAGTGTCGGGATAAAAGCTTGGTGAATGTGAACGTGTTGATAGGTCTAGCGACAGCCTAGCTCAGGTTCTGGCAGGGAGATTGTATTTGACGTAGGGGACCTCGACATCCTCCCCCTCGGTATCATTACAGCAGAGCTCCAGGACCAGGGCTCGGACATGAGGATCTATCTCCTTCTTACTCACGCTCTTCACAACCTCGCTCATGGGCATCAGCATTCTCTCCTCTCTTTTAGCTGAAAATTAACAAATATTGAGTATTAGAAAATTTATGATTCTAATAAAATAGCAGTTTAAGGATAACATTTAAGAGCTTAATTGATGCAATAAGGCGACCCCGGGAGCCCAGACCTGACTTGCACTAGAAAAAATCAAGAGTGGGCATTTCTTTTCTTCCGAATTTCTAACTTGCTTTTTGTAAGATGAGCATAAAATATGCCATTCACTAATAAAAAAAATACATAATTTTAATGGAATTCTTTTCCCACTAACAAATAATGTGTTGTATTGACTTAAACTCGTAAAAAATTGTCTAACCTTTCTGCATGAAGAAGGAGTAGAGCATTGTGACTCCTTGGCTAAGCATTGTGATCTCAAGCTTGTGTTCCGTCTCAAAGTGTTCCATGAACTCCTTCATGGTCATCTCGGTGCCGTCCTCCTTCACGGAGTTGATCTCGAACCTAACGGAGAGGAGTTGATTGAAAATAAATCTACAATTTCCTTTTTTCAATTTTGAGGAAATTTATCACACCTAATATTTCCATTACTACTTCACTACATTCGGTGTGAAAATACTTTCATTTTGATCTTAAACTAGAAAAAATCAAAATACCGGCAACAACTTTTTTTCGCTTAATACCCATTACAATAATATAGATAATTAAAATAATTTATTTATTTCTGGATGAAGCTAATTGAGACCCAAGTTTTTTTTCGCCGTTGTATCAGTTAAATACACTCTACCATAGTTAATGATCTAATTAGACCTTTACCATTGACATATGCAATCGATCATTTCCAAAATAAAAAAGATTTACTAACCTGTCCCAAAGAGTCCATTCTGTCTCGTAATACTTGTTCTTTGGTGCCTGGATGGGTTCGGAGAAAGCAAAAAATGGAAGAGCGAGATTAGCGAACCCGTTCTTGTACATCTCTATGTTGGTGTGCCCCTGCAGCAACTTGTACAGCTCCAGGGTGACCAGCCCAGCAACTAGGGAGGTGGTGGTTGCAATTGCTGGGATAATACGTCCAGCAATCCCCTGCAGCAAATATATTTACATTGTTTAAATATTTATTTATCTTAACCACACAACATTCGTATTCATGATTGCAGTAATTAGGGAGTGCAAATATAATTTTAAGCAACCCTTCATTTATATAGTAACATGTGTAATTATCAAAGGTACCCCTAAAGGTAACCATACGATTAGGTTATCCTTTTTTCTGGCGGAAAATTGATTTTCTTTATTAAGAATAAAATTCGTAAGAAGTTACTTAAAAACCCTTCTTCATGGCTACTCCATAATTAAAGTCACTTGAAGTTACGTTTACATTCTCTTTCCAGTGAATTTCTAAACCAATGTTTAGAGAAGTGCTTAGGGTCCGGATCCGGATCCGTTGGATCCGCAAAAATATGCGGATACACGGATCCGGATCCGAGGGGTAAAAAATCAACCAAAAATTGCAAAAAAAACCTTTTTACTCCTAAAACCTAAATCTGAACTTTTGAAAAAAAGAAATTATAAAAATTTCCTCATTTCTGAATGGTCCATTTAGTTTTAGGATTAAAATAAGCGAAAAAAATGAAACAAAATATTTGAAAATTATTTTTTGTTAAAAAATTCAGTAAATCTTAAAGAAATGACCTGGATCCGGATCCGGATTTGGATCCGGATCCATTTTATTCCAGTGCTGATCCAGGATCTAGATCCGCATCAAAATTAAATGGATCCTAAGCGCTGGTTTAGAGAGCACCCAAGTCCAATCTGTCATTCTTTGTTACAATTCCTCTTGCAATTATCCTGATTAGCAGATTTGAAAGTGTTGTTGTACTTGCCTTAGATTTGAGCCTGTCTGCAGGTGGAATTGAATAGTTCTCTGCTCTTAGATTGCTAGTTGCTGAAAAATAAAGTTTTAAAAAAATAGTAAACAAAAAATACAAAACTTTATAACAAGTAAAATACACTACTGCTAAGAAGTACAAACTTAGTGGTTTTCTTCATTATCGGTCCGTAGACGGGACACTAACTATCCTAGATCTTTTAATGTTGAATAAAGATTCTGACAAATAACGTTTCAAAGAAATGTACGATTCTGCCTAAAAAACAAACATTTTTTCAACACTTTAACAAGTTATCTTACCGACGATAAAATCAATATGACCGTTAGTATCATCGTCCTTCTCAAACTCTAGCGGCGTAATCCTCAACTTCTGTTTCCTGAACTCCTCAGGAGCCGGAATATCACCAAGCAGACTAAACAATTACAAAGTTAATGTTTGTGATAGCACTCAGACAATATGACTCAACTCGACGATGTAAGTTAAATTCCGAGTTTATAAAGGGAATTCAAGAGATGACTAGGAAGGGTGACTGAAGGCAATATAGGCAGGGACCATAAATTTAAAAATTGGCATGTTTTCATTTGAATTAGCATTTGATTATCAAAATTGGCGTTTTTTTGGTTAAAATTGGTTATAATTATTTACAACTATATAACAGGAAAATTCAAAGAATTTTACTTTACTAAGGGTAGTCGGCAATATTGGTCAAGGGAACCCGTTGAAGTAACTTTCTTCATCTTTTAAAAATAAAAATGCGCGATTTTTTTCACAAACACTTCGCATTTGAAGGAATCATAGATCCGTTGGAGGAATCATAGATAGGTAATGTTGGTCAAAAGGCAATCAAATCAAGAAATTCTTCAGTCAGTTGTGTCATAACACTAAACCCAAATTTGATTACGGAGAACAGGGAATTCAAAGAAAACTCACTTCTCCACCGTGTTACTGTCAGATCCAGCCTCTGATTGAGCCTGAGCCTCTGCATCTGTCACAGCAATCTTAACTCCTGATACAATCATAATATTTATCCGCCGATTTGTGTTGGCTTAAAGCTACCATCATCATATCATTGTCACATGAGCTTTCTCAAATATCAACTTTTTCTATTGCAAAAAATGTAACAAACATAAATTGATAAATTTCAACTATTAGAAGCCAGGAGAATATGCTCTACATTTCCATCATAATGTCATGTTCAAGTAATAAAGCACAAATATCAAGTTTATCAATTGCATAAAATGATTTCTAAAAATCGTCTCGTGTTAATGAGAAAAAATTGGTATTTAACGACCTATCCATTAAGCTCCATACCTGATTTTGGCACGAAGACGGGAACATTCACAGACTTTAGGATTTCTGCAAATTCCACCCTATCTTTGTTCTTAGTGATACCGTAGACATCTGCTAGAAGCCAGGCACCTGCCTCCACAAAGTCCATGTGTGTCTTGTTCAAGGGATCAAAGATCAAGGGTTTAGGACACTTCTTAGGTCCGGACCAGAAGGGACTTCCAGAGGAGGTGATCTAATAAAAAATATGAATAAAAATTCATATTTGCTTCTGCTACTTAATAATTTATGAAGGATCTGTGCGATCTGTCTTCTTTAATACCTGATCTGGAGGGAAGTTATGAAGAACTGTCCCTTTAATACCTGATCTGGAGGGAAGTTATGAAGAACTGTCCCTTTAATACCTGATCTGGAGGGAAGTTATGAAGAACTGTCCCTTTAATACCTGATCTGGAGGGAAGTTGTGAAGAACTGTTCCTCTAATACCTGATTTGGAGGGAAGTTATGAAGAACTGTCCCTTTAATACTTGATATGAAGGGAAGTTATGAAGAACTGTCCCTTTAATACCTGATCTGAAGGGAAGTTGTGAAGAACTGTCCCTTTAATACCTGATCTGGAGGGAAGTTATGAAGAACTGTCCCTTAAATACCTGATCTGGAGGGTAGTTATGAAGAACTGTCCCTTTAATACCTGATCTGGAGGGAAGTTATGAATAACTGTCCCTTAAATACCTGATCTGGAGGGAAGTTATGAAGAACTGTCCCTTTAATACCTGATCTGGAGGGAAGTTATGAAGAAGCTGTGCAATCTGATTATGGAAAAGCTCCTGCCAAGTAAGACGAGCCCATGCAACACAATCCTGAATAATTTTACATTCTTAAGAAAAAATATGTCAATTTTATTGTGATCAAATTTGGAATATATTAAAAAAGTTGAACGAAAATCACTTTTTGTAAGAGCTTAAGCTGAATCGAGTGTTTTTCTTCATTACTTAAAAATTCTCAGTTGAGTAGATCGACTTTTTAAGAGATAACTGTGGTTCCGGGCAAAGCTGGGTTTCCAATCCAGAAACCAAGAATGTCAGAGATCTTTAATTTTGAATTCCCACCTCTAAAGTTGTTGGTCGTTCTGTAACAAGTAAGCGTTTCACAGTTTCCATAGTTTCTACAGGCTGGCATCCAGGCAGCGACATTGTCTTTTCCTATAACAATATCTTAAAATAAACGATTTTTGTTTTTTATTCATTAGATATCAATCCCAGAACTGCTGTAAAACTTAAATATTTCAATTTCTTCAAGATTAGTATCGATTCTAATTCTTTTTAACTACCCTCCCCCCCCCACCTTGAAAATCCTTCTTCACCATAACGCTAGGAAGTTTTAAAAGGGTTTTAAAAGCGAACTTTAAAATGAGCCTCCATGGCAATGTCCGATTTACAACGGTACCATGAAAGGCTTTTTCTGATCAAGTTCATTTTTTTGGTTTTTGAAAACTATTTACTTTCATTTGTGTTTTTTCTTGCGTATTTCTTGCTTATAAAAAGACTGAGGAAAATATCAATATTTAAAAACTTACGGGTCAGAAAAGCTTTTGATCAAGGGTTCCTTGCAAATCGGACATTGCCATCTTTGCTTGGAGGGTCACTTGAAGTTACGTTTACAGTTCCTTAAATACGAGAAAAACAAGTTTTACCTTGAAAGAAGGATCCTCAATATACTGTGCAGCAGTGAGGGGTCCCTGTGTGAAGGTTCCCTCGAACATGTCCCTGGCCCACTGCAGGGTGTGCTCGATAGCGTTGGGGAAGTTCTTGAGTGTACAGATGGGAATACTCTTCTCCGGGGGATCCTGGGAGCTGCTGTAGGACTCGGTCAGCTTTGGTATCACAACCTGGATAAATATTATCAAAAAACTGAAAATCAATGAGTTTTCGGGAAAATACCCTATACAGAAACCTGAAGACCATCGACTAAGTTTCATAAATTATTGAATAGAAGAAAGTGGGGGGGGATATATCAACTGAAGGAAAAAAAATTAAATTAATTTTTTAAGAAGTCTGGACCAAATTTATACAAGGTTGATTAAAGCACTCGGTTGTGATTTCAAGACGGGCTGAAAATAAGTTAAGATGAGAACAATTTATATTACGCAAGTGTTTCGGATCCGGATCCGTTGGATCTGCAAGATTTTGGCTTCCTCGATCCGGATACGGATCCGTAAAAATATGCGGATCCACGGATCAGGATCCAAGGGGTAAAATATCAACCAAAAACTGCAAAAACAACTTTTTTACTCCTAAAACCCAACTCTGAACTTTGAAAAAAAAAAGAGATTATAAAAATTTCCTTATTTCTGAACGGGTCATCAAGTTTAAGAATAAAAATAGGCGAAAAAAATAAAACAAAAAAAATTGAAAATTACTGTTTGTTAAAAAGTCAGTAAATCTTAAAGAAATGACCTGGATCCGGATCCGGATCCATTTTTTTCCAGTGCGGATCCAGGATCGGGATCCGGATCCGCATCAAAATTAAATGAATCCTAAGCACTGATTACCACCAGATTCTATTTTTTTCTTATTATAAAATTTACTCGCAGACAATCTTAATTTAACGAACCTGTGTGTTTCCTTTAGTCCCAAGAGTACCGGACTCTAGAAGAGGTTTATTGTAGTAAACGCATCTACGATCCATGTATGTACGCGCTTCTATATTATCTAAAGCGTTCGCAACCCCGTCCAGCTTCTCAAAGAACTCGTCATTGAAGGTACTCTCGGTCTCAGGCCCGACACGGAGCTCCATGGCGGTGTACTTGGCGTCGGGGTTCATAACCGACACTGCCTCTACTGCACATTTGGACTTGGGTTGCTGAATGTTATGATCTCGGAACAGGAACTGTCGGTTCAAGTTAGACCTGTAAAATATAAATTCAATTAGCATAATTCATAATTCATTAGTTAAAGGGTTAACTGACGTTAAAGATTAATGATGGAACCCTTTCAACATTTTTTCAAAGTACTCTTTCCTAAATTGACAAAATTACAAATGCGTGCCCTCCGGCCTCCATCTATCAAATTAAAAACTAAAATCTCCATCAATGATGCTTGGAATCAGTTACACATGGTATTAATGTTAATTGTTGAATTGAAGGCCCTTCAAAAACTCGACTAATAAACAAAATCATTGTAGCCAAAATCTTTGCAAAAATTGCCACGATTGAGTATTAGTTAAATTTGAAGGATCTTGCATCTATAGTGCAGTTTCTAATTTCAAATATTCAGGTTCGGGTTTCAAAAAATGCATATCTAATTCATTCTGCACACGTCTAGTCTGCACAGTTCCCATCGACATTATTCTGAACCTATCATTTGCTTTATAACAGAAAATGCATATGTAAAATTTCTTAATGTCGTCTTCCTTTTTCGGGAAAATATCTTATTTACATTGTGGATCCTTTTAGTGTGCTATGAAGGGGGGGGGGATATTTTTATAAATTGATCGGTAAAGTAATGCTTTTACCCAAAAAAATTATTATTCCCTCTGAAAATCATTTAAATTTCAAAACTCAGCGAAAAAAAACCCATCAAAAATGTTGGTGCTTTCCTTAATTCCTTAATAAAAGGGGGAAAAACAATTTTTCAAGAAAATATACAGTATACACTATACACCCCTGCGTTGAAGGGAGGCATCCAAAGGTAAAAAAGCTCGAAATTTAAAACTACAATTTCTCTAGAATTTGAGAGAAAAAACGTGTTGAGGACGTACCGTTCAATGAGATCCATGTCAGTGACAGAAACCATTCCTCCCTCACCACAACCGAGTCCTATCAGAGCAAAGTTCTTGAGAAGCTCGCAACCTATAGCTCCAGATCCAACCAGGAAATATTTCTTCCGACCTAGCTCAGCCTGGAACTCAGATCCAAACACAGCGATTTGGCCGTCGTATCTAAACAATAGAAATATCAATTACGATTTTCAAGATTTATTTTCAAAAAAGATATTATAATATAGTCATAGTTCAGACTTAATTCACAAAAATGATTATGTATAGTGTCTCACAAATTAAAATTTTCATCAACTCAATATTTTTCTTAAAAAGTCGAACTGCTTTAAAAAACGCGTTTTTGAACAATTTGTCAAGAACCCATCATTATGGAGAAAAATAATCCGTTCAAAAAACTTTTACTGTAAATGATAAATGTCAAAATATTTGTTTTACAACAAAATCTACCTTGATCCTTGAGGTTTGCAAGCCTCCTCGGTCAGCTTTGATTTATCCTCGGGTAAGCACTCCAGAGCATCAAAATACAACCATTGATAGATAGGAGAGAACTTACCACTGGTTGCTTTCATCACCTCCTGTGCTACAATACCTCCCACAGCACAACACATTGGGTTCAGATCTCCAGCACAGATTTTAGCAAACTGGAGAAAATACTCCTCGTTGGTCACCTTCTCAGGGAACTGCTCCTTGGCCATGGCAAGGAACGTGTCTGCATCTGAGGAGCTCCATGGAGCGGGTGATCGGCCATATTTATTTATGTAACTAAATAAAGATAAATTTTACGCCTAATAAATTTTAGATTTTGACGAGGGTATATATTTTCTTGAAACTAATTCCTCCCTCACTATTCTACGTGGCGCACCAAAATAAATTGTTGTGAATTTAGTGTCGAGGAAAGGATAGAAAGCAACAGTTGAGTCGAAATTTTTCCTTAGATCAACTTTTTTTCCATCTCCCACTCAGTGGGGAGGGGGAGATTCTTTGAGAAATATTTCCCCTTGAATTTAGTTATAAAAAGTAATTCTAGATAATCCAGGTTTAATAATTGAAGGTTAGGCTAGATCTTTGCTTAATTATATACCCCCCTCCCAACATAAAACCTTGTATAAACCCATTAATTATTTTTCCTTTTAACAATCCATAGAAATAAACATTAAAAAGAACAAAAAATCTTACCTATGAAGAACTTGATAGCAAGCATGCAAGAACTCGGGAGCTTCGAACTTAGCGAAGTCTGTGTATACAATCTCGGGGGCAGCCAGGGAATCTTCCATGGCTTTGAACTTCAGGTTCACAGGCTTCTTCACCTAAAATTGTCAAAGATTTTCGCCAAAAATTTACAAATCAAATCATATTTCACAGGGATCCAACATATTACTTGTTAAATGTTTCTATTTTAACAACAATTGATCATTTACTTGTTAGTGAAGTGGAATAAAATTAATTTGACGCGGTAAATAGGACGTACACAAGATTAAGATAAATAAAACAAGGTTGACACATTTAATTGAACATACGAGCTGTTAGAGAAAAGTTCTGAATGCACTGTGCCNAAGGTTAGTAGAAAAGCTACATCGCCAAGGAATTAGTTGCCTGAATAGCTACTCCGACCTTAAATAAGCTACCTGAATAGCAACACCACCCCTGTATAAGTTACCAGAATAGCTACACCGCCCCTGAATTAGTTACCTGAATAGCTACTCCGACCTTAAATAAGCTACCTGAATAGCTACACCACCCCTGTATAAGTTACCAGAATAGCTACACCGCCCCTGAATTAGTTACCTGAATAGCTAATCCGACCTTAAATAAGCTACCTGAATAGCTACATTACCCCTGTATAAGTTACCAGAATAGCTACACCGTCCATAAATTAGTTACCAGAATAGCTACACCACCCCTGTATAAATAACCTGAATGGCTACACCACGCCTGTATAAATTACCTGAATAGCTACACCGCCCCTGAATAAGTAATCTAAATTGCTACACCGCCCCTAAATTACTTACCTGAATAGCTACACCGCCCCTAAATAAGTTACCTGAATAGCTACGCCGCCCCTGAAATAGTTATCTAAATAGCTACACCGCACCTGAATAAGTTACCTGAAGAGCTACACCGCCCCTGAATAAGCTACCTGAAGAGCTACACGTGCTCCGCCCTGAATTAGTTACCTAAATAGCCATACCGCCCCTGAATAAGTTGCATGAATAGCTACATCGCCCTTGAATAAGTTACCTGAATAGCTACAACGCCCCTGAATAATTTACCTGAATAGTTACATCGCCCCTGAATAAGTTACCTGAATAGCTACACCGCCCCTGACGTAGTCCGAGAATCCCGACGTGTCTCCGATAGAGAAAGTGTAAGGACCAATCACAGATACAGTAAACTCCTTGTCGTTTACCTCCTCCATACCCTGAACCTCGGTAAACCTGAACAACAATCATATGTTACATCTAATATACAAAAGGAACGGATTATTCACCTACAACTCTTATTTCCTAACCTTTTGGTAAAAATTGTGCATTTTATGATGAAATAATATAGCAAACTTGTGTAAAATTGGGGTTTGCTATGCAGTAGCACATCTCAGATTCTTTGAAACACATGTAAAGCCATAGAACAGGTCTCATAACACTGCCTATTCCTGCTGTTTTCGTCTAAAACTGTCAATTTCTATCCTTTCTTTCATATTTCAAATCATAAACTCAGCTAGATCAAGTTTGCAAAAGTTGCTAAGAAAAAATACCTTTTGTATTCTTATGTGCGGTGTTAAAGGTTAACCCCTTAAACACAAAACACCTGGGATCAAATCAAACCATTTCCCACAAATAGCTAATTCTTGCTTTCTTTGTATCTGTATATTTGTTACTTACTTGACCACATCCCCATCTTCAAAGCCGTGTCTGACTTCGTCCAAGCAGGTTACGACGCCCTTCTCCTCTCGGCCAATACTCGCCACCATCGCCGTTTTGGCCGGTTCTCCGTTCACGTCGAAGACAGTGAACTGCTCCCCGAGATCAGTGAAGACCTGGGCGTACAGACCACGAACATCGGCAACGATAAATCCGATTCCTGGCAATATTAAAAATAAATCAACTGAACCCTGTTTTTATTTTCCCTAAAAATTATCAATTTACCCCAATTCAGAGTTTAAACCTTACTTTACTTCTGAAAAAGGGGGGAGGTTGAATTTAAAAAGGGGGTGCTTTTTCAAAAAAAATACACCCCTTGCATGTACAAAACTCAACTTATCCAAAGTTCTAATAGGAAAAAATTTGTAAAGAAAAGATTCTTTGAATTGATTGATATTACCGTTCTCATGTGTAATCTTGTTGACTCTAATCTGCTCCTCTAGGCTGGAGTTGGTTAGGACCACCACACTGTGCTTCTTGATCAATTCCTCCGTCAGGTCACCAGTCTCCTACACAGGAAGGTCATCAACATTTTATCAAAATTTATGTTTCCCATTTTTTTACCTGTTAAATAAAATATTTACTTATGACGTCATGATGTATTGAATAAAGTATGGTGCAACATCATTGCTGTCAAATTTATTTAGTTGGAAATTATGAAAATATTACTTAAATTTCCCCAAATAAATGGTTAATTATTAAGTAAGTGCTGTAATATTAAAGTAAATCTACCATAAATGCAAACACGTCATCATAATTGATAAGAAAAATAGAATAAAATTTATATAAAATCACTTCAACTTAAAATTGATAAATTCAAAAAGTTCTGCGCTTAGGATCCGGATCCGTGGGATCCGCAACATTTATGCTTCCTAGAACCGGATCCGCAAAAATATGCGGATCCACGGATCCGGATCCAAGGAGTAAAATGCCAACCAAATACTGCAACAAAAAAACTTTTTGCTAACAAGACCAAATGTGAATCAAAAATATCCAGTTCTGCAGAGTTTATCAAGTTTTCGAACAAAAATAAGGGGGAAAAGAAAAATAATTTTAAAATCTTTTGTGCAACGAATCAGTAAATCTTAAGAATTGTTCATGACATGGATCCGCATCAAATTTAAAGGAATCCTAACCACAAATTATTATGCTAAGCCGATTAAATGATTTAATTTTATTTAACTTAAACGAACGAGGATCAAATAAAAGACTGATATGTGATAGTTTTATTACTCAAGGACTAAAGTCGAGTTTACTTCACTCAAATTTGTTATCATATTATCATAAACTTGCTTTTCTTACGTTCAAAATAAGAACATTTTAAATTGAGTTTTTTCAATTTATTCCTTACGGAATCTATCTAATAGCCGTAAATATGACTGAACCGATCAAACCCCAAATTTTTTGAGGCAACTCACATGACCCCAAGGAAGGGTTATGTCTGGTCGAAGTTGAAAAATTTAATCTTCACCAATTTAACCAGAAATATGCGAAAGTTTGAGAAGGAAAATGGAGACTTTCATAGTTCAAAGCTAAAATTGTTGATACGAAAGAGGGCGCGCGCTCTAAAAGACTTAAATTAATACAGCAGTCAATGAAACATTACAAAATATAAAAGATCTGCGACTAAGTCGTCACTTACCCTGTCTACGTCGACATAGATGTTTAGTTCACTAGTTTTACGGTAGCAGGCCTCTGCCCTATTCTCCCCGATATAGGCCTGGCTCAGGTAGAACTGGGTCCCGAGGTCGGAGATTGTTACATTGCTCTAAACATCAAGAAATTAAAGGTATTGTATTGTAGTTGTGTCAGGGTGGGGGGAGTTGGGAGGGGTCGCAGAATACTTAACTTAAATTACAATGAAATAATGAAATAGTAAGATAGAAAGTACATTTCTCTAGAATGGGAGGGTAAATGATATCCGAGGGTTTAAAGAAGACAAATATTTCGTAGCACTTTCATTAGCAAGTTTTTACAAAGCTTAAATCTTTTTTTTAGCGATCTCGATACCTAGACCACCCATCCCAGAGATAAGAACATTTGCCTTCTGCATCTTCTCCATTGCTTCCTTACCTAGAAAACAATAACATTGAAAACAATAACAATAATGAATGATTATCTCATTAAGACAAAAAAGTGTGTAATTTTGGGTGGAAATCAACAGATTTTTAAGAATTTGTCAATTTAACTTTCATCCCATAACCGGTAGAGTTTCATTCGTACCCGCATTGCGCATAAAGACTAGAATTGTTTGAGAAATGATATTTTTGCCCAGAAATAAATCGAGTTCTGTTGAAAAGAAGCAAATAAACAAATAAAAATTCGTTGATATATGACGAGGTTAAATTCGAATATCAGGGCATTGCGACACCAACAGTCGGCCTGATCCCAATAGCTGTTGCCCATAAAGTCGCTGATGGGTGAAGAAATAATATAGATTTCATGGCTCTAAGAGAAGATAATCAAAGAATACTAATATCTAAGTGTACTGCAGCCTCACAGAAGAACTTAAACAAACACGATATGCTTCTTAGAAAGAGGTTTTTTCATGCAGTACACTTACTTTTTTTAAAATCAGGTGGTAGTTGTCCTGAACAACCTAGTTAGGCCACACTTACCGAGAACAAAGAGTTGTCGGGAGTAGAGTCCTTCGTCAATAGTTTGACCATTTTTAGCTCCGTTCCCATTAGAGGAGCCGTTGGAAACCCCGTTCTGAGCCATCTTGCCTGAATTTAAATTCGTCGTTAAAATAAATTTTGAAGAAATAATTATATTGAAATTAATTTTCGAATTTTGAGGGGACAGGGAATAAAAAAGAGGGTAAAGGTGCAAATTAAGTGTGCAAACTGAAGAGTAAAGAATTAGCCTATTTCTATATGTTAGCAACCTGATAGCGTAAACCTTTTAAACCTTTTAAACTGACTTTAAATCAAGTAAATGTTCACAACTGGTTGCAAAGATATAAGGATACACTTAGTTTGAGCAGAGTTATCAGTTCTAAAAATTAGTTTTTTACGGTTTTGACACTTTTTTTCCGGGGTCATAAAGTAGGATGTGGAAACATTAATTAAATTCGCTTCGCATTTTTCTTATTTCTTTTAACAAATTTACTGATCACTTTTATCAGATGGAGGCGGATGGGGAAAGAGGTCCTGTAGGAGGGGGGGGGGGG